TGTGTGTGTGTGTGTGTGTGTTTTACTCTGCTGATAAAACATTAGAGCTCAACCAGTTAATCAGTTGGCTAATCATCTGGACTGATATTGATGACCTATGACCTGAAGTTTTATTTGGGCAATGGACAGTTACAGACTTTTTTGGTCATAGCATTGAGATTCAGACTCCCAATCTCTACAGTAAAGTACAACCTTAGACAATTGTGCTTCTGCAGAAGCCGCTGTGAGTGATAACTCGTCAGTTATATCACAGTAATGCAGGCTGAACTGATTAAAATGCTATTATGGTTACATTAACGATGACTTGTTAAAGGTATTCAAACCGAACATGAAATTAATGAAAAATAAGAGGTGATTAACAGACATCAAAACCGTGAAGAATTCTGATTAGCTCTGCCCCATTGCCACAATAATTACATTGTTTAAGACAGAGTTTCTGCTGTTTGTTTTAGTTTAAGATGTCTGACAGTTGAGATCATATCTGTCAGTAAAAGTACTGTTTAACTAAAATGATTAGAGTTAATTTACAATTCAAAATGTAAATAAAACATTCTGTCAGCCGGTTTTATGAGTGTTATCAGTATCATCCCTTAAAATCAGTATTGGCCACAATAGCTTTATAACTGTCAGGCCTTATACGATACATAAGTATGTATTCTGTGGTCTGTAGTGAATCAAGCATTTGGTCAGTGGTAATGGGCGAGTCCTTCTCAAAAGCGTATGGGAATCATCAACATAGCACTAAACAGCAGTGGGAGTGAAGCCCACATGTTAATGCACACCCAGGGGACAGTACGCACCGCAAACTGGACACATTCCGCAGTTATGAGTGAATAATAGCTTAACCACAGTAACTGCATTTGATGTCATTGTGTATGCAACTGTCCAAACATGGCCATTTGATGCCTTTGAGCCTAAAAGAAGGGCATGGACTCAACCCTGACATGCATTTGTTCTTTTCAGTTTGTCAAAGTAGATGGATCACCTACAGGCAAAAAGCATTATATACACTGAGTAAAGTCTTATTTGTGTACAAGTAAAAGTGAATGTGAGGCTGCAGTGATTGTGATCTAATACGGTTTTTTCACTGATAAGCTGTTACTGCTGCTGTATTTAATGACTCAGACACCTAAAATGTCACTTCTCTGTCATATGATTGTCATTGCTGTTCTATCTATACAGCTTCTCTGAGTTTATGATTAAACTAGTTCACATTGTTCTCTCTGCTGTGTGATGTTATCGGCTATGTGGCACGATGTTTGTCCCGTCATCAGCCGAGCCCTTAATCACCTGTGTATGTGTGTGGTTGTGATCCAGTGTGCATGTCTGTCTCCTCCGAAAGAGTGAATATTCTGCTCAGAAAAGAAGGGTTTAGTGTGTGCACTTGTGCATGTGAACAAAGAGCTATTCCAGTCACAAATGAGAAATTTTCAACAGTTGAAACTGATTGGTTTTTTATTATCTAATGATCGCACATTACATTATGATGATCTGAATTTATCAACATTGTTATTATCAATCAAATTCCCAAAATGTAATATTGGTTAGGGATGCACTAATATGGGAAAAGCTGGGCCGATTCCAATATCCAGTATTTTATAAGTATGTACGTATCTACCAATGCCGAAATTAGGACTGCACCTACCTGGATTAGCATTATGGAGAAATCTAACATTTTTTTGTAGCGTTACCAATACAGTAAAGTTAGTAAAGTGCAGATATTTTAGCACAGTAGCCCAGTGTCACCTAAACATTTTGCTTTTTTCGTAATACTATGAATACGTCATCAAAAATCGATTTAAAATATCAGTCAATTCTAATCTTATGTCTGAAGTCAATAATTTTTTTAAGCAAAGATGATTCCGAGATCAACGTGCATCCCTAATTGTGGAAGTGGCTGCTCTTTTGATGCACATATCATTGTTACATGTATAAACCTCTAATATTTTAACCTCTATCTGATGTTCTGAATGCATATGCTTAATTGCTTTCATTTTTGGTAGTCTTGGGTAGGGATGGGCAATATGATGGCATTTATCGTTATCGTGATATATTACATGACAATATGCTTTTCGGAGCATACCATGTATATCGTCATAGTGTCTCTTAAATCGGCAGCTTTACAGGAGAGGGCAAACATGTTCTTTACTTGTAATGTAATTTCATGTAAAGACATTTTGTCCCAAGCAATTTTGGAGCATTTCTATTGGTCCATTGATCATCAAATTTCACATAATATAAAAGGCAGCTGCTATGCTCAGATGTAAAAAAAAAAAATTAAAAATTAAAAAAAAGAATGCTGAAATGAAGATGCAAAGGGAAAAAAAGGAAAAAAAAACATTAAAATGAATATAAAGATATATGTAAAATGTGCCATGACTTTTGCACAGGCCATATTGGGTTTTTTTCTGTTTTTTTCTTCAGTAAGTTTAATTCAGCAAATAAACTGTACTTGTGTTCATTCAAGTATCGTGATGTTATTATTTTGCTATATCGTCCACCACTAAACTTGGGCATATACATAAAATGTGAGTGCACATGGTTTTCTGATAGCAGGACTTGTAAAGAGCCAAGCATTTATCAGAGCACTGCTCAGTCTCAGCTGTCATAGGCAGCCTATATATCTGGAGGAGATGCTGTTTCCTCTGTGTTCACTGTGAGTGTGCACTTTGATTGCGTAAGAACACTGAACTAACATTTGGATTTTATGAATATTTTATCATACATGTAAATCCAAACAAAGTATTTAAAACGTGTGAGCCTGCAGACATGCACGTGGAGGCGTGCATGCATGAGTTTGACTCATATCTGTAGGCTGTATTATCATTCTCTTATTGGCATGCTCAGGTCCTGTGAGATGAAGTATCGGTTCTGATATCACAGGCAGTGCATGTGTGCGTATAGCCCAACTGTACCTCATGTCTGTTAGGACTGATTAGTAGAGCTGTTCCATCTCCATGGAGATCTCTCTGACATCAACCAGCAAATATCAGCTCCAGATGTGGATCTGACTGCGGTCATGACTGACCGGGGAGAGCCGTTCACTCACTCACTTACTCACTCCTACACACACACCTTGTCTATAGCACTTGTTGAAGTATATCATTACAGGAGCTCAGCAGAGTCTCATACCTGTCCTACTCAGTCATGTCCTGTCTTTATGAAGTGATCTTCTCTTCCACACTATAGCAGAAGACACACTCTCTGCCTTTAACATGCGCATTATATGCTTTAATATGTGTCCATATTCAGATGTCAAAGACAAGGTAAAAAGGAAAGAGGAAAGTGTTCGAGACATTTCCTGTCCAGAGTTTCTCAGTGATTGTCTTCTCTACTTCTTTTCTCTGTTCTTCCATTCCCTGTTACAACTTTTATAACATGTGCTTTAGAGCATCAGACTGCATTAGAGTTGCTTGTTTTCCTTCTTGCATCAGCATCTGAGTCACGCATGAAAGTCCTGATCAACTCATTGTTGAACATCCCCCCCCCAAAAGATAAGCAGAGAGAAGAGCTGCTAGTTTTCTCCTCCACACGCATTTGAGTGACTCCACACTGCTTCATCCTGTTAAAATGCAGTGTTCAAGTTAGTCCTCATTTTCACAGGCAGGTTGTGCACTCTTAAAGATAGTTCTTCAAGGATTCTTTAGTAAAAACAGTGGTTCTATATAGAATTATGAACACTCAAAGAACCATTTGCTTGCTTAAAGGGCTTTTTGCATGGAGAAATGGTTCTTCAGATTGTTGGAAAAAGTGATGTAGGTGGTTTAATAAAGAACCTTTTTGAAAAGGGTCCTATATAGAACCAAAACATATTCTTCTACTTTAACAAGCTTGACATCACAACAATAGCAGAACTCTTATTGGTGCTATATAAGACCTTTTCCAAAGGTTCTATATAGAACCATCTACAGCACATTCTCAATCAATCTGAAGAACTCTTTCACAATGCAAAGAACCCTTTAATCATGAGCAGGGTTCTTTGAGTGTTCATGGTTCTGTATAGAACTATTTTCTTTACTAAAGAACCATCATTTTAAGTGTGTATAAAACCAAAAAACGTTCTTCAGTTGTTACGGCCTTGACATAGTAACAATATCAGTACCCTTGTGCTATATAGAACCCTTTTCAAAAAGGTTCTGTATAAAACTGTCTTCAGCACTCATGCTGATGTCTTAAAGAAGATTAAGTGCTTATTCAAGTTACTGCTGGATGTGCATGCTGGCATGGAAGGATGAACAAACGAACAGACAGGCAGCAGGCAGACAGAGGAGCTACCTTGATAGCACAGGTGTGTTTACAAGGTTAGTTATTGCTCAGTGGTTAGCTTTCATTTTCACAGAGACACCATAAGGGAACACAGTTTTGTTAGAGCTGTGTGGGCAGGACATAGCACATCAGCCTAGACAGGCGAAGATGCTGCTTACATAATAACCTTTTGACCCAAAATTGTGACTGCCCAGTTTACATCTAAAGAGGAGAATTTTGGAAAAAATCCAAATCAAAGTTACTCACATGACATACTTTGTATATGAATATTACATGCCCACAAGAACACACATAACCTACTTAGAAAGAAAAAATGGATTTAGGTTCCCTGGAGGTTCGGAGAAAAAGGAGCTTCCTCTTTTAAGCCTTTTAAACCGTATGAAGAACTGAAGATGTTCTCACTTCCCTGAAAATATACACACACATGCAGTTTTGTCAGTTCAGGTCAGTCAGACCCAACAAGAGATCTACTATCACTTTCACTCTCCCTTTAATTTTTTCACTTTAATGGCTGAGAGGAGTTTGGGAAATGCCCAGAAGTGTGTGGTTACTCTTTCAACAAATAAAATAAAATGAAAAGCAGATAAGCTCAGTGGTTTGTGGATTGAGAAAGTTTGGCCGGCTTTCAGAACATTTTCTAACAACAAAGCTTTGTCAGAAAACTGCTTTCCAGTATTTCTGGCATGCTGTATTCCCCTTATGAAAAATGCTAAATGTTTGTGTGTGTTTTGCAGGTAAAGCCACGTGTGATCGAGCCATTGGACTATGAGAGTGTGCTGGTCCAGAGGAAAACTCAGATCCTCAGTGATGTTCTTCGAGACATGCTGCAGTTCCCTCTGGAGGACTTCCAGGTCAGTATACTTGGTGCTATAACCTTGCCTTGATACTCTTCCTACAGTGTTCCACCAACAAAGCCATTATACTTAGGTCCATGAAAGAAGTTATCCAGAGAGAAATAAACATTTCTTGCCATTTTAAGTTCAACAGGTTATCACGTTGCACTGTTGCTCTGTGCAGGATTATGTATTATAGTTGAGCTTATTGCCCAAAGGCACAGCCATGAGGTTAAGTGAAAGGGCAAGGGTGTATCCTTCCGCTACTTAGTACAAATTCCTCAGTGCCGCACCCTGCTCTCAAACAAGTAGCCCTCTGCGTAGCCCTGGGAGCCTTTTCCTGTTAAATCAAAAGCTTATTTAATGCATTGCCAATGCGTAATTAGGGCCGCAATGATTAGTTGACAAAGATCATGGTTGGACAAGTTATATTTAAAAACAAAAGCACATAAGGTCATTCCAGCAGATAGCAATCAACGGAATTTCTTGTAACACAGATAGAACTTTGCTGCTGTCACAACTCCGCCTTCATTCAAAGTCAGAGAAAAATACAATCTATTAATCAAATAATGGCTAACAGATTAAGTATTGAAGTAATTGCTAGTTGCAATCTACTGTCAGTCACCCTCATCAAACTGATATTGTGTTGATGTTTGGGGCAGGAAGTAGACTGTTCCTGTGGCTTGGCTAGTTTTAGAGGAGTGTGGCAGTGGCAGATTTAGGACTGATGTGTCTCTCAGGGCTCAGGTTGCAGACTGCAGTCTCTGGGCTACTGCCTGTTTGGGAGGTCCACCTCAGACAGCTATCTAAACATACGTCATCAGCAGTGTGTCACAGTGGAAGGGACAGTGACCCCGCTGGCCTGGGGCCTCAGACTCAATGTTTGGAGTGTTTGGAGAATACTTATAATAGAAACTCCTCAGTGTAATACTTGACATATGTTTGGCTGACTCTACCTTTTCCAAACAGCACACAGGTGATGAAAGAGTGCTATAGCAGAGGGGCATTCTGACTGATGGCATCTTTTCTAAAGTGTATGACTGTGACCATAAATACCACTGTTTAGCTGTGTAGTGGCAGCTTATATGATTCAGGCTTCAGCCAGGTTTGGACAGAATTTTGTCAAGTTGCAGTTGAGTTTGGACAGAATATTGTTGGGCTACCTTTGGGTTAAGACAAGGGTTTGGACAGGATAAAGTCAGATTTGGACGAAATTTTGTTGGGCTACAGTCGGATTAGGACAAGGGTTTGAACGGGCTTCATTCTGAAAATAAAGTTGAATTTGGACAGAATTTTTTGGGCTACGTTTGGACTTGGACAGGACGTTTTTAGGCTACAGTCAGATTTGGACAGACTTTGGTTGAGCTGCAGTCCGATTTGGACGAGCTATAGTCAGATTTGAACAGAACTTGGTTGAGCTACGATCAGATTTGGGCAGGGTTTGGACCGGCTATGGACAGAACATTTCTATGGCTACAGTCAGGTTTAGACAGAATTTTGTAGGGCTATAGTCGGATTTGGACAGAATTTTATGTTTCCAGTCAGATTTGGACACAAATTTGTTAGGCTGCTGTCTGGTTTGGATTTTAAACTTGGTACTGTAGGTCAGGTTAGATGTGGACAGAATGTTCTCAGGCTATATTCAGGTTTGGATCAAAATTTCAGGCATGATTAAAGCTCTAGGCAGTTGATTTTCCTGGCTGTGGTGGACTTTAGTAGAAATGTAGGCCAAAGGCTGCAGGATTTTTCTGATATCTGCTGCTGCTGGCACTGCACAAATCTGTTACTGGCACAACCTCACTGGCTTTTAAACTGATTGTACTGTAGGCTTTGAATTTGGACGGAATTTTAATGGGCTACACTCGGACTTGGACAGGATGTTTTCAGACTACAGTTGGATTTGAACAGAATTTCGTTGAGCTACAGTTGGATTTGGACAGGCTACAGTCGGATTTAGACGGAATGTGGTTGAGCTATTATCGGATTTGGACAGGGTTTGGACAGGCTACGGTCAGATTTGGACAACATTTTGTGGGGCTTCAGTCAGATTTGGACAAAGTTTTGTCATGCTCCTCCAAAACGAAAAAATAATAATAACAAAAAAAGTGAAAATTGCAAGAGAATACACAAATTGCTTTGTTTTTATAGCAGACTGCACATGTCTAGGTAAAGGAATACCAAGAGTTTGGAAAACCTTATATTAGAATAACCTTCTCGTAAACAGATGTTTGTACAAACACAATTATCAGGTCGTAAAGTAATGTCAAAACTAATTCCCATTCTTAGCGATTTCACATAGACACATGTTAATCTGCAACAGGAAGTTAAGCAGGTTAATGGAGGGCACTGTTAACAAAGAAAGGACTCCAATGGGTAATGCAGTGCTCCAGAGGTGACCTCCAGAACTCGCTCCTTCATTTTTCAGCATGTAGAACCCCTTAGAGAGATAGAGAGAGAGAGAGAACTGTCTCTAATGGGTTTCCCATCCTTCTTCTGCGCGCTGCAGTGATCTTTAAAGGCTGCCTCTGTTTGTGCTGAAGTTGATGGCTAGGCCTGGCCTCACTGTCCAGGAAACGCAGTGGGAGAACACGCTTGGCTGAATGACAGCAACAGAATCTCCTTCCTGTATGCCGTGCTTTAGAAACAATAGAAGCTGCGCAGGCCTCAGGCTGTTCTGTTTTCAGGATTTGGATGTTCTGTCAGTTGAGTTGTGAAGACTGTGCCATGCAGAAGCTGTATGTTAGGTGGGGGTGCAGTACAATGGTTGAGGCAGTATGAATCTGCGAAGGTCAGACAGCTGTGTGGGAGCTGGTAACAGAAAGGCAGCCTTGACTATGGCCATCCATCTCTCTAATGTATCTCTTTCTTTCTTTCTCTCCCCCCTCACTCTCTCGGTCACCTCTCCAAGAAACATGATGCCAGAGAAAAGCTGCAGCGTGATCAGAACAACAGGTGATCCTCACACTCTGAGGAGGAATGCACGGCCTACAGGCACAGACAGAGCGCTCTCTCACTAACTGCTACATCTGTTTGCCCTGCTGCATGTGTGGAGTGGTACATTAGCTGCAGCTGTAGGCATGGACATGGTGCAAGCTGAATAGTTAATAACCCAACAGGACCTGACTATTCACATCAAGATTTGATCTAGTATCAACATCATTTCTTAAATATTTGTCAGCCTTCAAGTCAGGTTCAAATTTTATGTTCAGTTGTTCTTGCAGCCCATCTCCCAGCTTTAATGGGTTTTGGCCTGCTGTTACTGCTACTGTAGGTAATACTTAAACCTTAAACTATAAATTTAAAGTTGATGATTGGGCTCTTCATATCAGTGATCATTGATCATTAAAGGTAGAGGCTAACTTAGCAGCTGCTAAATTAGAAATGTGTTCAGTCTCTAGATTGGGGTGATTAGGTTTACATCAGTTCTAGTACAAAATTTTGTTGAGCCACAATCAAGTTCAGTCCTAATTTTGTAGGGCTACAGTTGGGTTTGGACAGAATTTTGTAGGGCTACGCTCAGGTTTGGGCAGAGTTATGCCAGAGTTGGGTTTAGAGATAATTGTTTCGGGCTATAGCCAGGGTTTTTGGACAGAAATTTGTCTGGCTGTAGTCGGATTTGGGCAGAATTTTGTAGGGCTACTGTATGGTTCAAATTCTCAATTTGGTACTGTAGGTCAGGTTAGATGTGGACAGAATGTTCTCAGGCTATATTCAGGTTTGGATCAAAATTTCAGGCATGATTAAAGCTCTAGGCAGTTGATTTTCCTGGCTGTGGTGGACTTTAGTAGAAATGTAGGCCAAAGGCTGCAGGATTTTTCTGATGTCTGCTGCTGCTGGCACTGCACAAATCTGTTACTGGCACAACCTCACTGACTTTTAAACTGATTGTACCTCTCTCTTCTTCCTGGTTTCCCTTATATAAAACATATAAAACAAAACTGAGTTATCTTATTAAGCAAATAAATCTGAGAAGGCTGTTTTTATTATCCCTTGTGGTCAAAGGGAGACTATGCTTGTGTTTGCTCGTATATGTGTGTGTGTGTGTGTGTGGGGTGTTTGTGTGTGGTGAAACCTTTTTGTGTGGGATTACGTAGGCAGCCTCCCTGCTGGACTGTGTGGAAGTGAGTCACTGAGGGCCACAGCAGTGGGTTTGTGCTTCAAGCTTCAGCAGGGTCACTAAAAGATGTTAAAGTAGCAGTAGAGACCTGCACTTTCTCTGGTCTTCTCCTTACCTCTGGCACTGTGGCCTTGAGATTTCATCTGTGCAGCACCTCCCCTCCATGTGTGTCTTAAGACACCATGATCTTCCTCTGGTTAACATGCATGCATACAAACACACATCAGCTCCTAGCTCTCCGTGTGGGTGGACATGTGCTCTGGTGTTTGTAATGTTCTCTGATGTTTGGCTAAACATGTTCTCTGATGTGTGGTGACGCCCCGCTACTTTTTGAGTTCAGGACGCGAACATAAAAACCTCTGCTTTCCCTCAACTGTATGTAGAGCTGACCAGCACGAACAGGCAGAGTAAAACTGAGCGGCAAAGCCAATCAGAAGCCGGCCTGATTAAATTTAATTTGGTATTCACAAAGATGATAAATGTCTCTGTTTTCTGTTTCTCTGTTTTCCTAGTGGTGAATGTGAGAGTAAAAGAGTGCTTGCATTCACGCAAAACTTCTGATCAATAAATAAACCCTCACGTGTGTAATTTAGTCCACATTAGTCCTTGCTGTCGATCATTCGAATCATAGGAAAAAGATAAAATATCACAAAAACAAACTGTGGTGTGGACTTTAGAAAATGAACTGGGTATGAAAACAGCCTGACGCTCTTCAGACATGTTAGCTATCAAATATTGCTATCTTAGGCTGCAGCTACTGAAGCAGCATCAAAACAAACACTGACACTGTTCCTGATCAAGTTCAGAGGTGGGTAGGGGAGCCTAAATCAAAAGTGTTGATACTTGCATAAAATAATTACACAAGTAAAAGTACCTTCACCAAAACAACTTAAATAGAAATGCAAAAGAAGCAGGTCAAAAATCTACTTAAGTACTGAGCAATGCAGTGGAACTTCTTAGTACATCCAGCATTTATCAGCATAGAAACCAAAGATTATGCAGCTCTGTTCTTCTCTTTTTGGGATTTTTTTGGTCTAAAATACAAAGATTCAAAGTCAGAGATCACAGAGCAGCGCAAATATTGGCACCATCCAAAGATACTGAAATTAAACACAAAAAATGTAATTAGTAACTAAATACAACTGGCTAAAAAAGATACCTTTACTCACCTTAGTAGAAGTAAAAGTAATATGATTTGAAAATACTCAGGAGAGTAAAAATCCATCAATATTTTACTGAAGTACATGTACTTGAGTAAATGAAAATGTTTATGAAGACATCATTAGTTTTAGTCTGGCCAAATTGCATTGCGTCACTCAGCCAACTGTTTTTTTTTGTTTGTTTTTTTTTTTTTTTTTTTGTTTTGTTTTTTTGGAAACAGTATGTTTTGCACCACCACTTTTGGAGTTGTGGCGACACCCCTGGAAGTGAGTATTGTGTTCCATCACTCTGCTTCTGGACATCACCCCATTCTCTGTCACTCTCTCTTCATGTTAGTAGGCGACAGAGTGACAATCCCTTATTTTAACAACATTTAATTCCTGACTTGATGCCCCAGCCATCACATTAATTTGTTAAATTCCATCACCAGCACATCTGATTTCATTTAATCGAAAGCTGATTGAGCCAAACTACTGGACACAATAAGCACCACAATAAGTTAGTTGGAAATGGTTAACCTAACGCATTTACTACATATCGTGTTGTTATTTGTATCATAGTATTAGTGTTTTTTGGATCAAATAAATGATTGCTGCCTAGATAGCTTCTTAAATCTGATTTCTATTTATTTATTTATGTATTTATTTATTTATTTAAACAATTTTTTTGTCAGAAGCAGGACAGTGTACAGGCTACAGGAGAAGCCATGGCCACACCCACAAGAGACAATCCTGGGCAGACATTAGCGACTTCCAAATGTAAACATACGACAGTCAGATGGCGATTCATTTGCCTGTTTTGGCATTTTTAAAGGAATACTCCCTTGTTTATCAACCTAATATGTGTGTGCAAAATTTGTAACAAGTGGTCAGTTACCACATATAATAATTTTGACACGTTTCCCTTTACTTACTAAAAGAACAGAAAACCTGTTGATTGGAACCAGATATACACTCTTTTTCTAAAACACTACAAAGGCAGTAGATAGAGGTTACATTGAAAAGTAATGTGATGCTGGAGCATTCCTTTCATATCAATAGCAGCACACTTACGTGGATATTTACTCAGGATTGATAGGGTTGATTTTAAGATATTACTCTCTAAGGATCTCTCTCTCTCCCTCCCCTCTCCCCCCTCTCCTTTTTACATCTCTTATTCCCATTTCCCCCATAGGAAGTCAAGGCTGTGGAGAGGAAGTGAGGGAAACAGTAACAGGGTATTGTGTGTGTGGCTCTTAAGAAACCTGTGGAATGCCACATAAAAACACTCTGTTCATTAGTGGACATTCTGTTGCTGTATCATTGATTATAGACTGGCTTTAGTCCACTCTGTCCAGCCTCAGAGGAGCCAGACTGTACTCTACCTGTGGCCAGACTCTTTCTGAGATTTAACATTCAAGTCAGTGAAGCACAAAATGAAGATGTGTGGGGTTGACGTCTTGTTTATAAAAGCAGATGTGTTAGTATGACTGGTAAAGAAAGAAGGGAAGAGTAGGGGTGAAATCTCATGTGAATAACCTTGGCTTAGATTTATTTTCCATAAACTGGAGCTCAGTCATAAGTCTTGGCTGTAGAAATACTGGAATCTGATGTCACTCAGAACACTGGAAGTATCAGAAGCAGTCGACAGTGAAGCTGTTCTTTCCTGTGGGTTATTCTGCTGTAGGATGTGAGTCAGGAGGGGGATTTTTGTGCTGGCATTGTTTGGCTGAGTTTATCCTGTGTGGTTTGTTTATCTGTCAGTGAAGTGGTTGACCGGTAAGCAGTTGGCTGTCTTTGCAGCAGGGATTCTGATGTTCCATCACGCATATGTGCACACACACACACACACACACACACACACACACACACACATACACACACACACACACACACACACACCGGTTCCTGTGCTTCTCGAAAAGAAAATGCCCAGCATGGGAGTTCTACTTGAAATGGAAGTACTTAATAATATCTTAGGTACAAAGTAATTAATATTATTTATATACACAACAGCAGAGTTCATTTTAGTCTCAACATTCACTCATGTGCACTTATATTCATCAGTATTTTCCTTTATCATCAATTACAGCTTGCCTGGTACAAGTCAATTCAAAGTCAAGTCAAATTAATATATAAAGCCCGCTATGCTACACTGCTCTATATAAGATTTTTTGTGAAAATTAAAAGACGTTGCAGTAATGAGCATTACTCGTGCTGCTGCGAGTCACTCTGTAAAACCTGAAAGAATAATTTAAAAGTCAGAGGCATCAGGACTGATTTGGCGGGAGTATTTTAGACCACATCATACATCTTTATGCCTAAAAAACAGTTTGGCTCAATGTTTAGGTCCCAAAGACAAAATCAGCATTGTACTGATGAAGATATGATGACAATATCAGATAATTCACCGACATCCTCAGAGGACATGTCCTTCACCAAGTTTTGACTGAGCTCTCTTTGAATACTCTTTCAATGTGCTTTAAATCATCAGATTTAGCCGCTTGAGGAAGGGATCCAAAGTGCAAACGACATTATAAAATGTTTCTTCTGAAAATCACAGATAATGATTGAAACTTAACTGGAAGCCCACCCCTTTTGCTACAGAAACAGCTTCCACTTGAATGCTTTACATCCCAGACATGTGTGTTGTAGCTCCATTATTCCAGAGAACAGTTTCACTGCTCCACAGCTCAGTGCTATTCCCCGTAAGGAGTCTTGCCCAAGGACCCCTATTGGTTTAACCTGGGGTGCTTGCCCAGATAGGTTATTGAACCCCAATCTACAGCATTGAGGTGTTACCCATTACACTATACCAACCATGTCTGCATTGCACAATACCATGTCATTAAAAGCTTTGGATGTCTGGTTCCAGTCCTTACCACTGTAAACGGTTTTGCCTTGGTGAGTTTCTCAAAAACACTGTGTTTCATATCACACCACTCTGAAAGAGTTGTTAAGTGTTAATCTTAATCATTGAATTATCAGAAATTTAGAAGATTTCGTAAAGTTCCTCTTAAATGTGGCAGAATATAGTGAATGTTGGCCACTTAAAATCAAGATACAGATTGTATTTGAGACGCTGCTGGTGGGCAGTGGTGAGTGGCACTGCTGACCTGTCGCTCTTTGTGTGTGTGTGTGGGTGGGTATGAGAGAGAGACAGAGAGAGAGAGATGGCTATGTCTCCATTGTTCGATTATGATATAGGCTGGGTCCACTCCTGCTGAGACTGAACAATGCAGAGCGCCTCTTACCCCTCCGCTTGAACTTTTGGCCACAGGCAGACCTGGGAGTGGTCATCAGGAAGATTATTTAAAATGCTGTTTGGGAAATCTGTAAACTGTAATGTTTTCATTAACCTGAGGTTACCCTTTCATAGCAACATATCTACTATGCTGTTATACCTTTCATGCCAAATTATCTATTGTGCTGAAACAAAATACTGTGATGGAACTGGGTGAAGGATAGAGACATCAAATATATCTCCTCCCATAAGTTATCCATTGATATACCATGGAGAAATGTAAGAATATTGCTTTTGAAAAGTTCTTTGTTAAGTCATTGATAAAGTATGTGATTGAGGGTGTGTGGGGGGTTTTTCTTTGTTTTGTTTTCCTTTTTCCAGTAAGCGTTAAATCTCTGAAAGTTGTTTCTTTGTGAGGCTTCTCTAGGGAGACAGGCCCCCCGTGCTATTCTGGCAGCATGTAATAAACACTTTTTTCCCTCTTTCTCTTTCGCAGACGTGCACTCTGCGCCGGATGATCCGCACTGTGTACCCCTCGCTCCCGGAGAACGCGCAGAGAGAGGCACACAGCCTGTTTGTGCAGGAGGTGAGAGAATGACTGAGAAGACTCTACTATTATTGCACCATTCAACAGCTGTTCTACACGGAGTAGCATAGAAATGGTTAGGTTTCTGTTTGACAGGTCACCAGGCTTGCTAAGATCCATATTCTAGAAAATGGTCAGCTGGTTTCAGGTAGGCACATGAACACAAAAACTGGAATGGTGAAAAAGATACATTGAATTATGTGAGCATGCTCTCACCAATTGTGTCCATGGATTTATTCCATTGTTTAAACACTGAACTTTGGCCAAAGGTAAAATTAAAACACTCACACGTGTACATAGTCATGTTGCTGTTATAAAACATGGTATTATAGAAAGGGAAAAGAGTTCATTCCATACAGAACACACCCACTTGACAGGAGTTTTAGCAGAACTCAAAATGAGGTGACCTAACCATATTAGTATGCTAATCTGCAGCAGATATGTCAGTACTCACTGCTTAAAGGATATCACCTGAAAATCTCTCTGCTCTAGCTGAGTTTTAATCCTTGAAAAGCCTAATATGAGATTGAGACCAAACAGTGGAACATCCTGATATGAAAAGCCCTGTTCTTTCATCTTTCACTCTCTACCCTAGCGATCAGATTGGACCAAGAGCAAAGGATTCCCTGCATGAACGAATCCCTTTTAGAGTTTTTTCCTCTCTCATCTAGGACAACTTTAGAAGTTGTGGCTCAAAATAGTAGTTTGGAGTTCACTCTTCTGTTACCCCAGGACAGAATGGCTCTAACAATCATGTATTATTCTTCTTGTCCTAGTGTATCAAGACCTACAAATCAGACTGGCATGTTGTCAACTACAAGTACGAAGATTATTCTGGTGACTTTCGTCAGCTCCCCAAGTAAGACTCAATGGTTTCATGTTTCTGTTGGACTAGTCTCCATAGCTTCTACTTGAGACATGTCTTTAGCAACCTATACCTCAGACAAGTTACAACAAGTTAAAGAATGACTATGTATAGCCATGGATTTAGGTTAGCAGCACAACAGCTTTAATCGTATGTGTGTGCGTGTGTAATTATCAAAATACGTCAGCTCTTGGAAAGTTGGTGGCGTGACACTATGAGCAGGAAATGTGCATTTTGTACAGCCTCACAGTAACAATGGATCCAGTGGAATAATCCATGAGTACATCTGTTCCTGAAGTGGCGCACAAGAACACAGGAACTCTTCAGCCTTTTAAATCATTATGAAATTGCAAGAAATACCCGTGAAAATACACGCGTGCAGTGCTGTGCAAAAGTCAAAGATCGCACTTTTGTTTATTTAATTTTCAGTCTGAATGGCCATTAAATACAAGTTATTCTTTTTTGGTGTCAGAAAAAAATCATATTTTTAGATGTTACACAGAAGCCAGTATTTATTATCCTTATTACAGCTTGCATTCTTTTTGGGAGACTTGTTTTTTAGTTTTTCGAAGAAATCTGCAGGAATATTTTTCCACGCCTGCTTGGAAGTTGATCGCATTTTTTTTGTTTCTCTCAATCCAAGTAGTCCCAAACATATTTAGTGATGCTGAAGTCTGGACTCTGGGATGGGCAATCGATTTTTCTGAGTATACCAGCGACTTCTTTGTTTGATTTGGATTTTTTTTTCTGTTTTGTCTGTTTTTTCTTTTCTTATTAACAGCTTCTTGACAGCTGCAATTCTTTCAGACTTACAGCATTGAATTGTTTTCTGGAAAGATGGACAGAAACACCTGTGGATTTTTCAGATCTGAAGCAAGAGTGAAGCTAGATTTTCTTCTATATCCCAAAGATGAAAGCTTTGATACTGTTTATCTGATGGTGACCGTTTTGGTGGTCTGCCAGGTTTGTATGGTTGTTAGTAGTCCCATTTTCTCTGTATCTTTTTTGGATCTCCAATTTTCAAAGTTCCTTTTTCCCCTCATTTTTCTTTGACTTTCTCCTATCTTATGTAAGTAGATTATTTTACATCTGATCTCCTCAGAAACATCTCCTGATAAATAACTTGCTGGCTATTTTGACTGGAAATCAAATAAATAAAGAGTTGTGTCTCACTTTTGCACAGTAATGTAGTTGGTAATACCCATAAATGTCTGAGATTAAAAAGTGAGACTGTGAGAAGCGAATCGGCTTTCTAAATTCAATGACAGTGCAATGAGCCACGCTGTTTGTTCTGGTAGATGAATTTTAGAACTTAAGTCTGATTATGCCTCATGCTTCATCAGATATGTAGGGTTTTTCCTCATGCCAGTGCAGTAATATGCATTGTGCTCTTTGTTTATCTGTGTTTGGGATTTAAACAGTAAAGTGTCCAGACCTGATAAGCTGGCAGTTCATGTGTTTGAAGTGGACGAGGACGTGGATAAAGATGAGGTGAGTGGATCAGACTGTACACTGTAGCTTAATGTTCTGATGAGGTAAGTGTACCTGACAGCAGCCTAGCCTAGTGTTCTGTGATTTACATTACTGGTAAAGTATATCTTCAGTGTCAACTCCAGATGTCTTTGGCTATTGTGTCCTTTTATGTTCCAGAAAATGAAAGCTTGGAAAGAAAGACTAGGATGTAGCCAGGCTAAGATTCAGATTTTCTAACTGTGAGATCTCATACTGGTCACTTTTATTTGCCTTCACTGATAGTGAAACCTAAGACACATCTGCAGAGGGCTACCGCTATGCTGTCCAGCAGAAACTGGACCTCCATCAACCCTCCCCTCCTCCACAGATACACTAGATAAACGTCCCCCCCCACACGCAGTTTGACCACTAGGTCATATCTACATGAATAGTCCAGAAGCTTTAGCCTGCCCTGAGTCAGGGAGAGGTATCTAATGGCCAGCCATGGCGGCTCCTGCTACCCGCACCTTCCAGGAACTCTCCTCCTCTCGGAACCCAGCACACACATCGTATCCTGTTTCGCTAATCAACTCCAGTTAATGACTGATTTGGCCCTTTTGGACTGGCCTTCTTGGCTGTTTTATATCAGGCAGTGGGTTTAAATCATATCAGTGGTTTTTATATGAAAAAGACACATTTTAATATAAGGTATGAGCTATACTTACTTGCTGTAGGGGGCTTAGTTATGGCACTTACTCTAAGTGACTTAATTGGGCTTCCTGCAGAGTTGTGGAGAAATACAGCCAAGGCCAGGCTTCATCCAGCTGCTCTTAATCATTGGCTCTGATTTAGTTCTGCTCAAGTAATTTGTCTGATTTGTAGATTGGCTTGTTGTGAGTATGAAGAGTCACACAGTTATAAAATAGGAATATGCTGCCATTTATATAAAGGGTCACAGGCTAACCTCACACCCAGTAATTACTACCTTTAGAGTCCAACATGTGACTCCAGAGTCTTTTTTTTCTTTTGTCACAGCCTCTCAGCCTGTTGCAAAGTGTTTTCCAGGTTTCACTTCACAGCCAACTGAAGGCCAATGCAATGTTAAAGTGCCTGTAATCCTATATTTTTCTTGTATTTGATTTTTCCATTGAGGTCTATTTAACAAAACATTTGTGTGTTTTTATGTACCAAACATGGTCATACTTTGTTGACATGACCATTTTTCAAACTTCTATTTATCCCTTAACATTACACAGGCTGTTTTTGTTACTGTGCCTTTAAGACTGACTCTGTTCTGATTGGCTGTCTAGTATTGTGCCTCATTCAAAAAGCAATCAGAGCTAAAGCAGTAACAGGAGTAAATGGTACATTTTCAAACTTTAACAATATTTACATTACTTCAGACTCCTTTATTTAAAAAAACTTGACCTTTCAGCCAAAGCCAATACTCCAGTCTGAATTCCACAGCCAATCGTTTTTTGCATCGAGCTCCACTATTTAACTAACAGCTCCTTTCCGTATGTGCACCAGTGGATTGCATGCCTTCCTGACGTGAATTAGTGCAGGCTAATTCGCTCATGGCCAAACTATCTGACGTGGACGTCTTATAGATCCAGCTTGCACTAAATATGTCTTTGATTACGATTTGGATTTCCTTCTGTTCATGCTTATAGCACCAGATGACCTCAGAAGATGAACTCTTAAAAATACAGCTATACTGACTGTTTAGGATGGTGTTGCTTGGATACAGCTCCTGTGAGGCTTAGGGTTCAGAGAGAGTGTAGTCATAATTTGGCCGATACTTTTGCAAGGTGGTCTGTGAGTTTGAGTGTGTGTTTATGAGTGCATGTGATGAGTGGAAGGAGATCTGTAGGTTTTCCAGATTTTGCCTTAGATTGAGTGGACAATATGCTTTAAATATCAGAGCTTTCGGCCAGAGCCCTTTCAGACACTTGTGGAATAAATTGCATATTGTGCTTTTATATTAACACAGCACCATTTCAAAACTGTCTGAAAATGTCTGGAACACAAGCTCATTTTTAGCCCCCTATTGTGGCATACCAATACATGCAGAAAGAGTGTTTTGGATATGGTTTTGAATCAGAGAGTTTTTTTCTAGTTAAACTAAATCTCCTGCAGCTCCACAATCAAAAGGCAGTCTGTATATTTTCCAGAATTTCACAAACGTCTTCTTATCTTTCCTTGACAGGACTTTATGGGTGGCCTGTAAGTGCATATTTGGGGATGCGTCTTCTATGTCTCATCATGCTTAATATTTCTTATGCTTAGAGTGGTGGTAGATAAGATTGAGGCTTTGGCAGCAGTGGCTATAGAAACATTTCCTAATACTGTAATAGAAGACAAACATTTTAAAACTGCAGTCTTTGGAATGCATTTACTCAACAATTACAGTTACTCCTCACAGTATTGTTAAAATACTCATGAGCTTTCCAACATTATTGTTATTAACAAATATTCAAGCCTGCACTTAGCACAGTCCAGTGATCTGGACTGATAAAGATCCTGATAGGTGTTCTGTTTTATACCGTGTGTGTTTTTGGCTGTAAAAGCTGTAGGTATAATCCTGCTGTGTGTAAGACGACTCTCTCAGATGTGCCTTCACTTATCCAGCACAGTGGTTTGTTTAGGTTTATCTGAGTTTCTGCTTGTCTCCATTTTTTCTGGACAGGAGTTTGGGATCTGGATTCCTTTCTCAATGACTCCCTGTTCTTTTAACGTTTACTTTAGCTGCAGGATCAAACAGAGGAGAACTGGAGCCACATCACAAAAATCATTCTTCTCTTTCTGTGTGTGTGTGTGTGTGTGTTTAGGACACAGCCTCCTTAGGCTCACAGAAGGGAGGGATCAGCAAGCAAGGCTGGCTTCACAAAGGCAACATGAACAGTGCCATCAGTGTCACTATGAGGGTGAGACACAATCAACAGTTACAATGAAGCAGCTCAGCTATCCACACCTATTTTACTCTTTTTTTCTCTGTTTAATATACATCCTTGTGCTCTTTGAAAGACATCTGTGATTAGTAGGTGCACTTTAATTCAGCTTTTATGTAGTGTGTTTTAATCTAGAATTTCTCATCTGTGAATACGTGGTCGTTTTCTGGGCGTTGAATATATTTTCAAATGAAAAGACTCTCATTGGCCAACCAGAACATGTTCAGGGGTGGGGTCTTCTTTTGCGCTGATATGTATAGTAAAATGCTTGCTATGGATCACAGCATTGTGAGACTATAGCATCACGTAGCAGAGCACTGCTGTAGAAGACACATTCATGTTTATTTTTACACTCGTTTAAATTGAATGACATAAAGATTTCAACATCATTTCAATACAGTTTGCGATCACTTTACCACCTCTTTACAAACTTGCTGTTTTCAAGCTAAAATATACAAAGTGAAAAAATGGGCTTGTTTGTCTAAAAGACTGACTGTCTATCTGTGTAAATTTCAAGCTGATCTGAGCTCAGATTTCAATTTGATCTGCTGTGGCTTTCTGTGGTCTCTATGGCCTTAATTTAATGCAGTAATGACTAAAGGCTGAGTGGGGCACTGAGAAACTGAACTGTGCTCAGAGTCAGTCGCAGAGTGCTGCTGTGTGTCGACTTTTTATACATTGCCTGATGCTGTATGGTGGTTACATACGTTCAAAGTGGAGTCAGAGAACACAAGGGCCAACCACGGACCAGAATGCTGCTCACGGTTTCAGAATGGTCAGGGTTTCCATTCACGTTCAAAGCCCTGTTTCGCACTGTAAGTGTACATTCAAGCCCACACTGGTTGTTTACTGATAATATTATCTTGTTAACTTTGCAAACACAGGAATTAAGCTTTAACCGACCAATATAAATGTCAGAGATTTCTAGGCAACGTGTGCTTATCTTAGATTTCTCCTACATCAGTGATGTATCAGTAGTCTGCTTAAAGTCAGAGAGCTCAGTGCTCCGAAAAAGAGCTTAGCCAAGAAGTGACGTCTTCAATTGCAAAAGGGATGCAAACTTTAATTCTGAGAACATGCCATGTTACCAGTTAAACTGAAAAACAGAAACCAAGGTGTTTACTTGCCTATGCAGTCTAGGGCTTGAAAACATGACTCACTGTAAACCTGTCATCCAGCAACCACACATTTACATCCAAAATGGTGTTCGCTGTGAAATCCCACTGTAAATGGCAGAGGCGGCAGTGAAGGCAGGGTTGGTGGGTGTGGTTATTTTGGAGGGGGGCATGGCTCTAATTTGCTGTGACGTAGAAACGAGAAGAAAATCTCAACAGCCTGTTGAATCACATGCATATTTTGAAAGGAAGATACACCAAAACAGCTGAGATTTCATGTTTCATGATTTCTCGAATGGAATATACAGTGACATGTAACACACATGTGAACTGGTAAGGAAGTGCAGGTTTGTTTACTTGGTCTCCTTTAATGCTCTTTAAAGGACTTACTATCTCTTTATCTCTTAATAAAAACTTTTAAATTAAAGTGTTTCTTCTTCCTTTTCTGTTTCAGTCTTTCAAAAGGAGATATTTCCACTTGACACAGTTAGGAGATGGCTCCTATAACCTCAACTTCTACAAGGACGAGAAGATTTCCAAGGAACCCAAAGGGACCATCTTCTTGGATTCCTGCATGGGTGTGGTTCAGGTACTACATGAACAAGGATTATTCTCCAAACCAGTAGTTCAGTCTATGCACAAACATATCAAATACAGCAGTGGTGATAAGTGACAATCTGAGCTTCTAGACACTGTCAGCTTAGCTTCTTTCCTTAGAGAGATGAGAAGTGTGTGTCTTTTTGTACAGCTGTCCCTTAGTCTACTAAAGTCTGTTAAGAGAGATCTGCATAAATATACAGTCATATACAAAAGTTTGGAGACCCCCAGTCAAATTACATGTTTTATTTTCTAAGTAACAATAAATTAACCTCTTAAATATGGTATCTACAAATGTTGGCACACAATTTCTATTAAATTGAAAAAACATGTAAATATAACATAGAATGGAAAATGTCCCAAAACTTATCTAGAGGCCACTTTTTATGTTTAATTTTTTTCCTAATATGTTAAGTGCAGCAACTGAACAGTAATTATGCATTATAATTGTGCAAAGGTGTGTTCTCTGTAGAGGATGTGTTCTTATTTTTCCTGAGAAAATCAACAAAATGTAATTAGACGTAGGGCACCTAAACTTTTACACACGACTGTAGAAGGTATATAGAGTGAGATCACTCTATACAGTATTGTATTTAAGCTCTAAGTTGCAAATACAGAAAAAATATCAAGTCAGCACCATTCTGGTGTTAAATGAATGATTGCTTTATATGACACACCAGTCACGTGGAAAATTTTCTGTAATCCTGGTCTAATGATCTTACCACATTGGACCACATCTGTTTTTTCAGTTGTCAGCTTATCAGACACTCACTTGCTCTTGCTCTTGTTCTTACATTCCATTTTTTCATTGTTTTAATTCTCAGTGGCCCTTTCTCTGACAAGAATGAAAAAAGAACTGCCAATAGAGCAGGACACTCTGGAGTAGCCACACATGAGCATAATGTCACCAATCCCAGTGGCAGGCATCAGCTAGAGATGTGAAAAGCCCAAAGTACTGGACTATGGGACAGCAGAATTGCAGACTCTGGAGTAATGTCTAAAAACCATCTGCAGTCTTTCTGGAAGTCAGATAAGATCTAATGCACAGCTACTCAGACACATGTGCTGTTCCATCATAAGCTCCATCTATATAATTAGGGGGATTGTTTAGCCAGTGGGCAGACAAGTTGGCTTTAAACCAAGAGGCTTGATGGAAGTTGTTTATGCCAATTGCCTGCCTTAAGCAAGACCCTTAACCCAGAGGATAAAGCATCAACCAGATGACATTATAACAACAGATGGAGAAAATAATTAGCCTGCTCCCTGGAGCTCCATACATACAAAGCACTGTCCAGCCTCCCTGACTTTGGCTACTAATGAAGCTGTCCAAAATATGTTCTCCTTTTGTTCTGTGTTTTTTGAAGCACTCCCCAGCAATAACTCTGAGATTGATTAGCTAACTGTTGTAGTCAAGGCAGGGATGGGGAGGTCAGATGCCACACGAATTAACTCCCTTGCAGAAAGCATTCTGGAATGCTTTCCAGAATAATAAACATGCTGATATAGCTCCTGACAGATCAGTGAAGGACGGCAGCTTGGTGATGTGTGAACAATGCCTTTCTGAGAGGAAGGTGAATCTAGACATGGACATTTCTCATCATCCACAGGGTTTCATAGTCACTTCATAGAGGGGACACAAGATGTAAATGAGACTTAAGCTCTTCCTGTTGCCAAGTGGCAGATCTTCAACAGCGGTGTAAATAGCAGTGTCCGTGTGGAGGGATGAATCTGAATATTGTGTACCTTAACCAAATAAGACTGTTTACTGAACCATCCAGCACAAATAAAGACATGACAATTAATAGCTTTTTTGTAACGGTTTAAGCGGTGGTGCTATAATATAAGCTTCTATTACTACATTATAATGTGTAGATTTATTACTACTATAACATCTATTATTACATTATAATAGTATCTGCCTTAGCCTTGTAGCTCCAGTGCAAAACTACCAAACATGTTTTGGCTGATCAACGTAGGTGGTAAGAGGAAAGCTGCATAAAATGTATTTTTGCCAAACTGTCACTTACATGAGGTGTGTTGTATTGATAGTTGTGTGCAGATGAGCTAGTAGAGTCCTGCTGTTCTTTGAAGAACCCATATCATATATTTTTCTTGCATTTTATCTTTTCCCCTGGGTCGTCTTATGAAGTTTCTCTGGGTTTATGCACCAAAACCATAATTCACTTCACATGGCCATTTTCCAACTTCTCTTTATCCTATAGAAATAAACAGGCTGGTTTTGTTACTGTGTCTTTAAGTCACAAAAGCAATTAATTAAAAACAGGCTGTTTTTGCAGCTTACTTTCCCTATGTTGACTGTATGGATTAAGGTGTGGACAATATGTTTTGAAACTTTAACAATGTTTACATACTGTATCAAACTCTTTAATTAAAAAAAGTAAGGAGAAAGTGGTTTTCCATGATATGGGCCTTTAAGGATGCCATAAAGTGGTCTCGTCTTTGGTTCTCTCTGCCTTTCTAACGGTCTTCTTCTCAAGCATGCTCATTTTATCCCTTTAACAGTGTTTAGCCACATCCCTTTAAGACTCCTCGGCTGCACTCTTGGCATGGCATGGCTCTTTTTGTCCTCCATGTGGAAATACTTTCACCTGTTTTCCTCTGTACTGATCTGTCTCCTTCTTTTACACAGCAAGTCACACACTGACACTTTAAATCAGTTTTTTGGTCTAAAGCTTGAACATGCAGTACTATAATCAGTTTCCAAGTGTGTGTGTGTGTATGAAATAAGTAGACATGGACTTAAATTTCATGTCTATTTCTATTTAGTCAGTTATACTAAATGAGAAACTGTGATTATGACCCCTTTGTGTGTGTGTGTCTGCATGTATTAGTGTTGGATTCTGAAGCTTAACACTCAGTCGAGTGTTCTATTATTCTACTAGATAAATTCAGTTCAGAATGAAATGCTCCCCACACACCTTTCTCTTTGTCCATTTTGGAAAAGGCTTCTGACAATCCGCCAATCCAGACTTCACACCCAATATCAAAATAAAAAACTTTGACTAGTCACAGTTTGTCAAAAGGCCTATATCCTGAAAAATTGAGTTAAATTTTTTTTTTTAAATAAAAGAGTGTGATGTATTATATAAACAGAGTTATGGTTTTAAAATGTATCTTCAGCAATACATTTATCATACAGTAGAGTAAAAGTTTTAGTCACCTGAAAAAATTGAATTAAAAAGTTTTTCTGGGTAGTAAGCATTTGTTTTCCCTGTCAAACACTAGTATTAAAGGTGCCATAGAATGTATTTATTCATAAATACTTTCCAAAAAAAAGGTATGTAGAAGGTATGTAAAAAAAAAAAAAAACAAAAGTTATGTGACTTTGGGTGGAAAATGCCCAGATGCGTTTTCACACACCCATTTACAACCCTATGATTTGGCCGTAGAATGAAACAAGCTGTTTTCCCATGTCAAAATAGACACAGACAGGAAAAAAAATAAGCATCTGTGTAAATAAGCTAGGTCTTCATACTATTTAGTTAGCTATGCTAATTAATTGGAGCTTACCAGTATCTTAACAGTACCTGTACTAGCTACTTGCTTTCGATACTGACAACAACAACAAATAAATTGAGGTTGTTAGCTCACTATTTAACTTTAAATTTAAGATGATCTGGCTTCAACTGTCAAAAAGTGGATAAAATCACACAGCATGGCTAACTGCTTATAGGTTGTAGTTGTGATGCTAATAAAGTTGGAACTACCAGAGTGAAACGTGCAGAACAAACTAACAACTTTGAATTAAAGTTTTTCAGGATCTTGTTGAAGATGTAGAAGCCAAAGTTGGTTTCCTATTTGCCAGCTTGTCTTGCGAGTTCACCTTTCACCTTAAATGTTACAATTTATACAGGTGCCAGAATATAACTGCAGCACCATTCCACTTTAAATGGTGCTCCAGTTACATTCTGGCACCTGTACAAGTTGTAACATTTAAGGTGGAAGGTGAACATCAGCCATGCTTATTGCCAGTTTGGTTACTTGGGAAAGGTATGAAAAGTGCAGACATACTTATTGCCAAGATAAATGATTTTAAACATAAAATCTTGTAGCAGTTTAGATCTTGCCAGTTCACACTGAAGTTACAAGAAGTGTTTTGGCCCAAATGAAGCACAATACAGGGCAGCCAATCAGAACAGAGCTTGTTTACACATATCTCTAACAATAACATTCTGTTTATATCTAAGGGTTAAAGAGTGGTTGGAAAATGGTAATGTGAAAATAAATAATGACTGTTTTTGGTACATAAAACCACACAAAAGTAGACTGTGAGGGAACACGGAACACAAAACACAAGAAAAATGTAGTATATGGCCCTTTATTGATTTGATGAACCTCTAAAGTTCATCTGATTTTTAAGGTGATTAGATGCTTTATCACTTCAGTAAAAGTAGCTTAAAAGTAAAGTTAAAAGTAAATAAAAGTAACTTGTGTCTTGCTCTCTCTCTCTTGCTCTTTTTCTTTCTCTGTGTAGAATAATAAGGTGCGTCGGTTTGCATTTGAGCTGAAGATGCAGGATAAGAGCTCATATCTGCTGGCTGCAGATTCTGAGACTGAGATGGAGGACTGGATCAACACACTCAACAAAATCCTGCACAGCAGTTTTGAGCTTGCCATGCAGGAGAAGAGGAATGGAGACCTACATGATGGTGTGTGTGTGTGTGTGTGTGTGTGTGTGTGTGTGTGTGTGTGTATTTTCATTATTAGACCACCCAGATAACTACCACTCTTGACATGACAGTACTCCTCTTAAGGAAACAGAGCAAGTGTTTCTACATCAGCCAGCTAATACAAACATACACTCATATCCAACTCCCCTGTTAACCACTGAACATACTCATCTGCCTGTTCTCTGGGACACTTAGCTATTGCAGGCCTCAGGGCCTCCGCTGTGTTTTGCTGTATCTCAGCTCAGTGGTCTGCTTGGTTTGTTTGCTCTAGTTAAGCGGTTGCTGGTGTAATGTTCTCTTTGATGGAGTTTATGCATCGTTAGCCATGTTTTTTCATCTTGTGGTCTGGATGTGTGCCATGTTAATTAGAGCTGTTCATTTCTCTGGCTCTGTAGATGATGAACTGGGGAAAGCTGATAACTCTTCTGGAAGTATGGACAGCTTTCAGGTAGGTCCTGTTTGCAAAATAGCCAGCACAGAACCCTTGAGAATAGTCTGAACTTTTACACAAAGAATCCGACCAGCAATGTACAGGCGTGATTTAGACAGAGTTTCGGAGTGTTTGCACTACAGACATTTTCATTACATTTGGAGCATAATGAAATGTTTGTGAATGTTAAAGAAGTCAGCTGTTTTTTGTGAGAAGTTGACAGGGTTTTTCCCAACACCCTCATCGTAATATCTTTGTAGTATTATATGTTACTGTCACACTAATTTGTCCTGCTCGACTGAATGTGCTTCTTTACAGAGTGCCCGAGACATTGAGTCCAAAATAAGGAATGAGACGCGCCTAAAACTCTTCACACTGGACCCAGACACACAGGTATAGGGCTAAAACATGACAGTGTTCCTAGTGGTTAATATTAGACACTACTAACAGTATGTCCTTTAGGCAGATACACTGATACTCTGCTTTACATCTGTACTGTTTTAAGTCTGTTTAAAAGGACTATGGTGAGGTCAGAGATAATACTTTGACTTATTAGATACATGTTTCAAACTTCCTTTGGCTGAAATATCTTTTTTAGCTATATTTTAGCTATATTTCACTCAGAAAAAATAAACAGTGCGTTGATAAAAAATAAATAAATACGGTCAGTCAACTGTCTTAGTTTTCCTTCGAATGCTACCTCTGATTAGACAGCTAATGTTGCAGAATACACCCAAAGCATTAGTAAATAAATGGTTTATATTAACAAGACCTTTGTCAGATATTACTTGTAAAATATCAAAGAAGGCAAAGTGTCTTCAAACTTTTCATGGGCAGTGCACCGTAAAGATACCCGTGTCTGTGTCTGAATACAGAAGTTGGACTTCTCTGGCATTGAACCTGAAGTCAAACCTTTTGAAGAGAAGTTTGGGAAACGGATTCTTGTAAAATGCAACGACCTGTCCTTCAACCTGCAGAGCTGTGTGGCAGAGAATGAGGAGGGACCAACTACTAATGTATGCGCAATTACTGTTTAATTTATATGGACACACTTTGACAGCTTTGGTAATGAACAGAGCTCTGAGCTAACTGTGTATCATTATTTGAGACGGTCTCTGTTTTCTCTGTGTGTTCGGCAGGTGGAACCCTTTTTTGTCACTCTGTCTCTGTTCGATATTCAGAACAGTCGGAAGATTTCCTCAGATTTTCATGTAGATCTGAATCACCCGTCAGTAAGAGCAATGGTGCCAGGCTCAGGAGCTCAGATCATTAATGGAGCCTCAGATGCAGCACAGCGCACCACCAACGGTCTGCCAGAGAGTGCTCTACAATATCCACAACAGGTAGAGGCAATCACACACCCTCCTGCTTCCTCAAAGCCAAAATAAGTTATTTGACTGCAGATATTTAACAAAAATCAAAACCCATAAGGTTTCATAAGTATTCATTCCCTGCAAATTAATATTTGGTAGAGCTACGTTTTGCTACAAGTTTTGCACATTGATTGGGTTTTCAGTGTAAACAATTAGAGCATTTAAATGTGCTTCTTCGTGTCATTGAGGGTTTTTTTTGCATTGTGAACGGAATATGTGAATAATAGGAGAAAAACGTGGCCTCTTCAGTGTTTCAGAAAACTCAGAGAAGGGACGGACTCTTTGATCTTCCATAATTATAGCTGTAATAGGACCCTTATTAGTTTTCACTAAGCATGGTATCCCATCTGTGTGTGTAGGGAGTGTTCTCTGTGATGTGTCCACACCCTGATATCTTCCTGGTGGCTCGGATTGAAAAGATTCTGCAGGGAGGAATAACTCATTGTGCTGAACCATACATGAAGAACTCTGACTCCACCAAGGTATTGTGTGTGTGTGTATGGAGGGGTGGGATTAGGTCTAAAACAAGTGTTTAAACTGTTTGTTTTTTTGCATCATTTACCATTAATTGTCTATAATTCTTATATACTTTTGTCTGAATTGTTCCTCTGAATCAGAAAACAAAAGCAGCAGTATATGTTTGTTTTTTCACTCTCTGTAATTTTAACTTTGAAAATAGCTAGCTATCTTATGGCTGACCCACACTGCAAAATTTATAAAATCTTAACCGCCATTGAAAATGTGAGAAACCCCACACATTATGACAATGATTTCATCCTTTAGTCATCAAAGCCCCTATGCTTGTTTTTTTGTTTGTTTTGTTTTTTATGATATTTATAAGAATGCAAAAAGGTTTTATTTGAATTTTAAAACAAATCTAACAACATCAACATTGCATTTCATGTGAGATGGTCAGCATTCTCCCCCCACTACAGGATGTGGAGTCATATATTTTAATCATGTTTAATATTTATGATTTGAAATCAGGGCAGCCATGACTGGACTCTGAGCTAAAGATGGGCTTATATTTACCTCTTACCACAGGATAATCTAAGAAAATGATCCTTTAAGACTAGACTGAACCTACAGTGCTCTGTCCAGAGTAGATGGAGCTATGTATGTGTGTTGTACAGTGATATGATTTAGGAGACAGAATATGTGAAAAGCATAAGGGACTACCATTAGAGTGGTCTATGTGGAAATCCTGGCAACCGTGAGCAATGAGTCAGTTGTAAAGCTAGAATGCTCTGCTCTCTTCTCTTCTGCTCTCTCTTTTCTCATCTCCTCAGACTGCTCAGAAGGTGCTGAAGAATGCTAAATTAGCATGTAGCAGACTTGGCCAGTACAGGATGCCATTTGCATGGGCAGCCAGGTAAGAAATATGTCTGTTGTATTGTCCACAATTCATGAACACTCATGTTTCAGACTGCTTATGTTCTGTTCAGCCAAATGGAAAAGGCTTTGACTGCTTTTCCATGGCAAAGAAAGTTTTATAGTCAAGCAACCTGAAACAGTGCTCTGTTTTCCAATGAACTGCTTCTGCTGAAGTCAAAGTCAGCACTAAGACAGAGAATTGTGAATGGTTTGAGAAGTAGTAAACACTGTCTTTGAACTGGTTTGCTATGGATAATAGCACTTTCAGCATACCACCGAGTGTGTTCTCTTTCCAGTGGGACATTTCAGATATACCTTCACAGGAAAGGGGTTTGTGAGTGTGTTATCTACACTGCCCTAATGGAAGAATGACATAATTCCCCAACAGGAAACCTTTGTTCATCTTACCCTCTTCACCCTCCTCTTCTGTTTCCTTCTCTGTCCCTCTTTCAGGCCTCTGTTTAAGGATGCATCTGGGACGTTGGATAAGTCTGCTCGTTTCTCTGCAATATACAGGCAGGACAGTAACAAACTCTCCAATGAGGACATGTTCAAACTGCTGGCAGATTTCAGAAAGTCAGTGTCACTTCCACTTTTCTCTCCTTATTGTCTGTAACAAAAAAAAGAATCAAAAAAGCATTTCTAGATGATACCGTTAAACACTCATATTCCCTTGTTCTCTATGGAATTATCAGCATTTCTCAACCAGGCTTGAGATGCCTTGTGAAGTGGTCAATTTTATTAATTTTTATTATCTAAAAGCTGCACTATGTAAGATTTGGGAATTTTCTCACGCTTATTATCTGCCTTTCCCTCCTTTCCTCTTACCCTAGGCAAGAAAAGATGGCAAAGCTTCCAGTGATTCTGGGAAATCTAGATGTTACTATTGACAGTGTGGCCCCGGATCTCCCCAGTGAGTCAGACTCCGCTAACACACTTCCTCTGCTAATGAGATTTACTTTCCATTCTAATTATTTTCTGCAAACTGTTTGAATTCATTTTTCCTTTCTCTGTACCTTTCTCTCTATGTAGACTGCATAACGTCTTCATATCTGCCAGTGCGTCAGTTTGAGAGCAGTGATTGGAACGGACTTTTTTTTGAGGTTGAGGAGTTTGTGCCATGTTTAGCTAAATGCTCTCAGCCCTTCACCACATATAATAACCATCTATACGTCTACCCACGGCACCTCAAATACGACAGCCAGAAGACCTTCGCTAAGGTATCAGCACTAGATCTATTTCTGTTAGTGTAATGATGGTTGTGCACAATGTTCATGTATGTTTTATTGAGAGATGTCATGATACCAGTTCTTCTTTTAAAATACTAATGCTGAAACCTTTAAAACCTGTTTTAAAATAAAATAAGGTAATAAGCTTTAAAATAAGCTATTTTAACTGAAGCACTTCACTTAAGATATACAGTTATGAATACCAAGCTCAGACATCTCTGTCCACAGCAAGAATTACAGAACCAGCAACATCATCGTTATATTAAAAATAAATAAATTAATACACAATATGTGCCTAGGTACTCATTTTCCTTATGTAAAAGTTGGTGTCTGTTGCTGTGACCTACTTTACTTCACTTTATGTTGCACTCCAAGCAATTCTGCTTTATTTCAGACTAAATTTGTTCTTTTTTCATCTTAATATTTTATCTCCTGGTATCAATCCTATACTGATAATGAGTGTCACATCTTTGCTATGTCTAATTTTAACGTGATCAAATAGCCACAGCTGAAGTTTGTGTTGAAAGGTAACTGTGAATTGTAATTGTTAATTGTATGTTTCTGCAGGCCAGAAACATTGCTGTGTGTGTGGAGTTCAGAGACTCTGATGAGGAAGATGCTCTCCCTCTCAAGGTATTTGTAAGCTGCTACAAATGTCATTGACCAGTGCACACTGTAATACTTTACAGTGCATATAAACTCACTCTCTGTATATAAATTTGTTTATATGCCTTTATATACATGCACAAACGTATAGAAGTGTTTTTTCAAGGTGCAGTTTTATTTAGGCCTATTATGCTTATTACATAATCGCCTGATCACAATTATTTGAGCCGATAGCAATTATCTAAGCTGACCACAATTAATTTCCATGGTTGTTAGCTTTCACAGTCATATAAAACAGAATAGACAACAGAAAGGGAACTGGGTGTATTTTAATTGGTTGGGTTCAAAAAAACATGTAAATAGAAGAAACAATAAAACATAGATCTTATAAAAACAACAAAAGGTCTCATTACTGACTGGTGCTGTAACATCTTTAGAGAGCGTCAGTGAGTGATGTTGTTTATTTGAGCTTGAGCCATTTCCTTGACAGTTGGAAGCTACTAGGCATCAGCTAGGAAGCAAGATGGCTATTCAGCTGTTCAATTTGAACACTTCAATCTTGTGCTTTAATAAATGCATACAGTGAACAGTAAAAGACAATTCAATTTTTAATCATAATCATTCATATGACACATAGTTCTCAGCTAAATTTTTAGAATCATGACAGGTCTAGTTTTATTTAACACTTGGGAAATGCTCTCTGACCTCTTTCTCTGTCCTGTAGTGTATATATGGTCGTCCAGGTGGGCATCTCTTCACTAAGAATGCCTTTGCTGCAGTATTACATCATCAGCAAAACCCTGAGTTTTATGATGAGGTAAGACATCCAGACTTGTCACCAGAAGAGCTGAAGTTCAGTTAATGTGGTAGTTCAAAAAATATATGCTAACACAGCTTTTTTAACACAGGTTTTTTTTTCTTAGTTTAAGATTGAGCTGCCAACTCAACTGAATGAGAAGCATCATCTCTTGTTCACATTCTACCACATCAGCTGTGACAGCAACAGCAAAGCTAGCACCAAAAAGCGGGAGCAGGTGGAGACACAGGGTATGCCAGGATACATACACACACATTCAGGATGCACAGGAGAGATGACACAGGAACAAGACAGTCTGTGCTAGTACAGTCTTTGTCTTACTCTTGTGCCAGACAGGTTCAGGATTAGGATCAGCAGGTGCAGGCTAAAGTTAGAGTAAATAGTGAATAAAGAGCTTTTATTTGAATTAATCTCTTTGTGTATTTTTGGGTCAGATTATTTTATTATATTTAATCAGGTAGAGTGGAGAAGGCACATCCATTTCTCAAAACCAATTTGGGAAACATACAGTTTTGTCAGTAATCACTCATAATATTAGTAATGTACGATATTTTATGTATTGTCGCTTGAACAATTTCTTTGCAGACTTCTACTGATTTGCATCCAAAATGCTTTTGTAATTTTCTGAGTTCATGATCTCATCAGTGAACAGAAGCTCACCAACACAATTATAAAAATACAGCCACAGACTTTGATGCTTCCACCTCTGTGCTTTACAGCAGTTATTCTCAAACCAGTCCTCAGGGGCTCCCAGTCAGTCCACATTTTAGCTTTGTCCCTATGTGTTGGAAGGTAGATGGAGCTAAAATCTGGACTGCCTGGGGCCCCTGAGGACTGATTTGAGAACCACTGCTTTATAGTATAGTACAGCAGTCTGTCTGTCTGTCTGTCTGTCTTCTCCAGGATTTCTCCATACTGACCATCAGTTTGGTGTGCCATCATTTGCTTTTATGTTAAAGTGTCCAAATACCTTTTGAAGCCACTGTAAATATAATAATTCTCATAATATTCAAGTATTGTTTGTTTATTTATTTATTTATGTATTTTTCTGATGTTTGTATATTGAATTGTGTTTGTCTGTGTAGTCCTTGTTCAGTGGTTGATATCTCACCTTATATTGTCTTTAGACTGCCCATTTGTCCTTGTTCTGCCTCCAAAACTGTAACACGTTAGTCTGACTTGAAGAACCCCATTACGTCCAAAGCAACTCTCAATTGTGGCAGGAATTAAAATATATAATAGACATATAGAGAGAGATTATATACCATATCTCTGCAGTCGGAAGAAAACCTTGTATCTCCATTTTTGTCGCTTTTCAGTTTTATACATAATTTGAAAATGCCTGTTGCCCTTTACATTGTGTGTACATTTCATGAAAAATGGACCAAAAGAAATGGCCCAAAATGACTTTGGAGATGCAAGGTTTTCTTCCACCAACAGTGATATAGATTATATAAGCACTACGTGATGATAATGTATAATCTCAGGGTATATTGCATAATGATTATATGACAGGGTATATGTGGGTATATCATATTACTCCAAAGAGGGTGGAAAGAGGGAAGAGAGTTTTGCCAGACAGTTTTTTTTGCATAACTGGAGGAGTTGCATGCACTTGCATCACCTCTTACAGTCCTGATTTTGTCAACACTTTCTTTCTCTCTCTCTCTCTCTCTCTCTCTCTCTCTCTCTCTCTCTCTCTCTCTCTCTCTCTATCTCTCTCTCTGTCTCTCTCTCTCTCTCTGTGTGTGTGTGTGTGTGTGTGTGTGTGTGTGTGTGTGTGTGTGTGTGTGTGTGTGTGTGTGTGTGTGTGTGTAGTGGGCTATGCATGGCTGCCCTTGCTGAAGGATGGCAGAGTGATCATGAATGAGCAGCACATTCCTGTAGCTGCAAACCTGCCTGCAGGGTACCTCAGCTGCCATGATGGCAACAGCAAGGTGCGCCCATACTGCAAGATACACTCATCTCATTCTGTTGGATCTGTGATCGGTTAGAAATCCTAATGTAAAGCTGCCATCAAATATAAAGTTGTGCTTGGCTGTGACTGTGCTTCTTTTTATTCTGTGTGTGTGTGTGTGTGTGTGTGTGTGTGTGTGTGTGTGTGTGTGTGCGCGTGTGTGTGTGTGTAGCAGCACGCAGGTCCTGAAGTGAAGTTTGTTGATGGAGGAAAGCCTCTGTTTAAAGTCTCTACTCACTTGGTCTCCACCGTCTACACGCAGGTGTTTAACACTGCTCTAACATTCTCCTGACCCAGGCACTGTTTTCTGTACTTTTGTCCGTGTTTACATTTGAATTTGACATCCTGTAACATTTATCTGATTATTTACACTTGCCCTTTTAAAATATACAGATTGACCACATATTGATTGGATCTCATTTTTATGTGCAATGTTTATTTTTACATCAGGCTGGTGCGGCACTGGTGCAGAGTAGTCATGGCCTAGTCTGTTCTGTGTTTGCTTTATTGAACATTTGATCACAGTACAGAGCATTCCAGGTGAAGTTACCAAGAAATAAGGGGTGGCAAGTTGGCCGGGTTCTCACATGTCCTAGAAAATCTAGAAATTATACGGAAACTGCTGCTAATGCTCTGCTTGAGCATCCATTCACACCTGTTGTTGTTTTTTAATTCTACAGTATCATCATAAAAGCTGCTTTAGCCAACTTTGATCAAAATTACCTTTTATAGTGAATGACACTTATTGGAATAAGCATTTATAAACGTTTATGTAGGGTTATGTTAGTTGTCGTGATGAGCTTATGCATGTGTCGTGTAGCCTTCTGAACAGTACCCTACAGTGAAGTGTTACCAGGATGTCATCAACAGTTACCATGTATATAATCGTTGGAAATTGTTCTACAACATGTACACTTGCTTAGCAATGCACACATGCTTTGAAATGCAGTCAAAATGAAAATACGAGATAAAAATTGAAGTTAGGTGCAGTAGGCAAAATGCTTCTTGTCCTTCCCAGGCAATGAATAGCTTTGTGTTCAAAAACCTACAAGCAGAATATACATATACATGCCTTTTTTTTTAAAAAAAAGAGGCAGGAACAATATTAAAACTTGTAACACACACATGATGGATTCACATGGACCCACAGCTCCGATCACAATGCATGTTTGACTACCTCATAATCAGAACAGCAATATCTGAACATTCTGATCACAAACACGATTACATCCATCTTTTAAATGTTTGAGCCAAGTGTAAACAGGGCATGTGGTTGTTTGTGTGAACAGATTTCTTGATGGCTTTGGCTTTATAATCATTTTCAAATGCATTTGCAAATAATTGAAATCTATTTTCTCCTTTGTCTTCAGGATCAACATTTGCACAATTTCTTCCTCCACTGTGAGAGCAGTGTGTCTACACCTCAGCCCAAAGGAGGAGAACTGGTCAAATACCTGAAGGTATGACTGCAGAATAACAGCGAAAGTGCCAGTGTAAAACCATTTTTTCATGCTCTGTCTTTCTCTCGCTCTCCACCTTACCCAGCCCATTTATTTGGGTGCCTATGCATGTGTTTCCTGAGGATGTTTGCAGAGTCAGGCTTGTTTGTGCAGTCAAATACCACTTTCCTAACACACTCAGGGCACTGAGTAGGGAACTCCATACACAGGCCTGGTCTGTGGAGTGTGTGTGTAAACAGGCCACCCCACTCTGATAACAGCACAGTGACCTCTCTCATAGTAAGCGAGGTCAGTCCTCCACCCAGGAGCTGCTGGGTGTGGGAGTTTTCCACCACATTATGGAGGTGCTCAGATGTACTAGTTGATAAGTGATAGGCAGGATAGTATTGAGCCATCATGTGGGATAGAGTGCCTGTCAATCAGCAGGGTCTTGACTGGGTGTCTGTTTGTGTCCAGATCAGAATAATAACACTTTATTTGTTATTAAGTGGACATAAAATTGAATTTTGTCCTTGGTACTGGCATTTAAAACACTATCCACAATACATGACAAAACACAGAATTTAAACATTAAAGGGCCCTTGGAAAACCAAACCAAAACCTAACATTCCTACAGTTCTATATAGTATAAAACACTGTAAAAGTTTTAAATTGGAACAGTCACTCCACAGTCCATATAAGAAAATTAAGCTGCAACAACAGCCCATTTTGAATTAACTGAAAGTGATAAGTGATAAAGCCAGTAGTACAGAAATATAACACACTACACCCATATACAACTATATGCAGTTGTTCAATGAGGGAGTAAAACTCATAGGAATGTAATTAAACAGAGACTTATTGAAATTGCTCACAGTTGAATAGATGAAAGATATGCAGCAAGTGATCCAGAACCACCAGAGAACTGTTACTGCAGTGTCCCACCCACTATTAAAATTAGAAGATGGTTGACTAACCTTAATGATTAGTCTAAAGGACCTTGTATATGCCCCCTCCAGAGTCTGCATGCAATGGAGGCTCATGTGATGATAAACTTCCTCCCTACAATCCTGAACCAGCTATTCCGTGTGCTTACCAGCGCAGCACATGAAGACGTCGCAGTCAATGTCACCAGGTCAGTTCCTACCAACTTAAACAAAGCGTGAAGAATTATATTAATATATATGTCATCACTGTCATAAAAACCTCCAAAGCAATAACTTCAGGAGAAGAAAAATGTTTGTGAAAACATTGTAAGAAAAGTGTTTTTTCCTGTTAAGTTTTATTTACCATTTACCATAGTTTCTCCCCTCTCTCAGGGTGATGATCCATGTTGTAGCTCAATGCCATGAGGAGGGCTTGGAACATCACCTCCGCTCATATGTCAAGGTTAGCACCTTAAGCAGCACCAATGATGTAATGTACTGAGTGCTTGACTACATTCGAGTTATGTGTCAGGATGTTAGGGACAGGGGACGACTCAAGCTAAGTCTTAGTCACACTGGCAATCCTTCACTCAAGGTCACAGGTTCTTTTAAGTTATCAAGAACTCATGATTGTTATTTGTGTGTATGCATGTTTGTGTCTGTGTGTAGTATGTGTTTAAGACAGATGCGAACACAGCTACTGGTAAAACAGTGCATGAGGAGCTGGCCAAAGCCATGACCACAATCCTCAAGCCGTCCACTGACTTCCTCACCAGCAACAAACTGCTGAAGGTGAGCTGCACCTGCTATCTCTGTCCTCTGCAATGATTTATTTTCAACTGTAGCGCACAGCGCTGGTTTCTGATGATGGTATACAGGTATTTAATTCCCAGACATATCCTGCTGACATCTTTTTGTGAGATTTTTTTCCTTTTTATGATGTGTTTTCTGACATGATTCTTTGTGTTACTGTGTTTAGTACTCCTGGTATTTCTTTGAGGCTTTAGTGAAGTCCATGGCCCAGTACCTGATAGAAAGCGGTAAAGTCAGGGTAAGTCTGACTGCATCTTTGCTTGCGAGTGTTTTCATCACAGAATTAACCCTAGATCTATAGTTATCACTGTCCTTTTGGTGTGCAGTATAATTACGTAGTTACATTGTTATACAATTCATTTCATTCAGTTTACATTCTGTATTGACATGTTTGCATCTGTGCTTCCATTTTTTTTATTTGTCAAGAAATAACAAAAAATATGGCAGAAGTGTAAAGGATGTTTTTTTGGTGTGCAAAACAATAACCTTTCGTCAAATCCTAATAAAATATCTCTGAATCGAGATATGTTTGATGTTTGAAGTGAGAACTAAATCAATGAAATATGATGTTTTTTGAGGCACATGGTGGTGGGCCTAACTGGGTTAACAGTATCGCTCTTTTGGTGCTTTCACTTTATTCAGTGAGGCTTATTACCCTCTCATGAGCAAAATTCAGATTTAGACCTGTCTGAGGATGGGCTCTGACCTCTAAGCTTTTGAACTTGGCCCTCTATCCCATAGCTGTCCAGGAACCAGCGTTTCTCAGCCTCGTTTCACCACACAGTGGAGACCCTGGTGAACATGCTGATGCCTCACATTGTGCAGAAATACAAAGACAACCTGGACGCAGCACGCAACGCCAACCACAGCCTGGCTTTCTTCATTAAGGTGAGTAGAGGCAGTGTCAATACACTGCACCAGAGTAACATCTCTCACCAATCTAGAATCCAGCACTCAGTAGTTAGCAGATTTACTAAGTCTGCCTCAGACTTTGTGTATGATGAAGTTAAAGGGTTTTTCGCTTTATTATGGCTTTGAACCTTCGTTGGTCTGTTTTTATGGCAGATGAATTAGATAAATTACATGAGAAATAAGTGAAAGGGAGTGAATGTCAATAACCAAAAGCTTCCTTTTGTGCCTTCAGCGTTGTTTTACTTTCATGGATCGAGGATTTGTCTTCAAGCAGATCAACAACTACATCAACTGCTTTATGCCTGGAGATGCAAAGGTGCTTTTTCCTGCATGAATAGAATTGAAGGCAAAAGTTTGAATGCAAACTTAAATATGACAAATTTTAGTAAACAAATTTATTTCATTTTTAGTTTAACATACTGGGCAAAAATAACTTTTGCACAGACCACATTTTATGTTTTACTTTTTTCCCCCCACTATGCTGAATTCAACAAATAAACAGTAACTTTGAATTAAAATGTGCAGAAGTATGTTGACTTATTTTCATGCAAAAAAACCAACAGGACATTTTACCAGGGGTGCCCAAACTTTTGCAAACAACTGTATCTCTATCTTCTTTTTCACATTCAGAAACCTTTAAAGCTTGCCTACACCACAGTCATAAATACCATAATCCTCTGTAATGTTGAAATTCAGCAGAGTCATCTTGCAATGATACGAGTCTACATTTGTTTAGTCTGTAGTTAAGGTGTGCTGTACACATTGCTTTGTTCTCCTCACGCCTTTGTATTGCTGTTCCATTCTTCTCTCCACAGACACTGTATGAATTTAAGTTTGAGTTTCTGAAGGTGGTGTGTAACCACGAGCACTACGTCCCTCTAAATCTGCCCATGCCGTTTGGGAAAGGGCGGATAATGAGATTCCAAGGTTAGGACAAACGCTGATGCTTATATGCAGCTAATAGTGTAAAAATGTTATCACAACTTATAATGTCCTCATTTCAGAATTGCCTGAGGAATAATTCTCTGGGGAAAAATCTTAAATTAACTCGTACTAGACATAAACCCCAAGACAGAAAAAACATCCCTAGTTAATTTGCTTAAAATGCCTTACTCATTGTTTTTCTTTAGTTGTCATAGTAGCTTATGACTGTAGAATCCCTGTATGTAGTATCTGCAGTGGGTAGTATTAACCTTAAAAATCTGAATCTCTCATTTGAGATGAATTTTTGTGTATTGTAGATCATGATAATCTTAGTGTGTATTGGTGTGTTGTGCTCTTTTGTTCTGTGTGTTTTGCTGATCAGCAGTTCACTACTCCAGTATGGAGTCTCAGTCTTCTGTAGGTAGGTGAGGCGTTCTGCCTGCCTGACTGATCAATAACCAATCACTAGCTGATCAACATTGTATTAATGAAATCAACATGGAACGATCACATTGGTGTCATCTCTAATGAAAAGACACTCAAATTGTTGTTTTCACTCCATTTCCATTCCCACTATACCACATTTAGTGTTAGAGCTAAATGTGTATGGTATAGTAATGAGTTGTTAGCCTAATGATTTTTGTTTACCTGTTTATTTTTGTCTTTTTTTTGAGATTTGAGTTGCATCACAGTGAAATAGTTTGAATAAATATTTGTTACATTATCATATGTTTGTTAATTATTCTAAAACCACTAATTGTTTCTAAGGAGAGCAGAGAAATCCTCTTAATGACCCAGATCTTTTTTATTTATCTGTAATATGATAAGTATGTAAACCCCTTCACTAGCAAACTCAACTGTTGTAGTTAGAAATGCATGCTTTACATTTTGCTGTATAGTTTATATTCTCTCCATAGTCAATGAGTCTCTTAGTACCCCATTCTCTGTCCTTCTCTTTCAGATCTCCAGTTGGACTACTCTTTAACAGATGACTTCTGTAAGAACCACTTTCTAGTGGGCTTGTTGTTGAGGGAGGTGAGTGGGGCTCTACAGGAGTTCAGAGACATTCGCCAAATAGCCATCCAAGTGCTGAAGAACCTGATGATGAAACATACCTTCGATGATCGCTACACCTCAAAAGTGAGTGTCAGTTAACTTAGACAGGACAGTCATACATATTCTTAAATGTTTATCGCGCATATGTTTTAGAGAGTTTAAAACTGTGAACTACAAGCTGTGCATGATGTATATATTATGTTTGAGTCATGAATCTGTGTATATTTCAGAGTCAGCAAGCGAGGCTGGCCACTCTCTACCTGCCACTCTTTGGGATACTTCAGGAGAACGTCCACAGACTCAACATTAAAGACACCTCACCATTTGCCAACAGCCTCTCCCACAGCGTAAGACTGACACCTGGTGGCCACAGTCTGTAAATACAGCTAAGGAAATTGCCCATTTTTCCTTCTATTCATGATAATCTGATGTGTATTGCAGCATAGCCGGGACGAACCTCTCCTCACCAGTTCATTAATGACACCTCCTAAATTAGGGGGCCATGTAGAGAGCAGCCTCCACAAGGATGTGTTTGGGGTCATCTCTGGAACAGGTAAGAGAGGACAACTGCAGTTACCCAACAGCCACTGATTTATAATACTTTAAAGAACAGTCAGGCAAAAAATATACACAAAACAGTTTTCTGTTACCCTAAATGTAGTATCAGCCAACCAGCATTTTGCATAAAACTGGAAAAAGACTGAAAAACTACTGTAGCATCTGCTGTTGTTACTGTTGTTAGCGGCATACATGTGCCACACTTTTGTTCGTTGTTATACAGTATAATGGTATGTCATACAGTATTAGACAGAAACCATTACATTACTTAACACTTTGCCACAATGTGAGGCAGTTGATGTAGACATGGAGTTTTCATAGTGCTACTTACATTACTTAGTTTTAGTAGCCTCATAGCTTCAGTGCAAAACTAAAGAAGCAGACTTCGGGCATCAAACATGTGTTTGATGGTTGACTCGGTTTAGGGTAACTCAATTATTAAATTAAACTAGAAAAAGTGAAAACTATTCCTTTAAAGCAAATAAAGCAAACTAACACACTTAAGACCATATGTGGTTTTTCCTCAGTATTGTACATAAGAGATAAAAGGTATGGTTGTGGTTAATTAATAATGGGTCATATATACACAGTAGATATTTTTTGAATGTGTGAGTTAAAAGTGAATAACTGAAATGGTTTTATGGCCTAGCCTCTCCACACACAACCTCGACTCCGAATGTTAGCTCCGTCCGGCACGCTGATTCCCGTGGCTCCCTCATCAGCACTGACTCAGGAAACAGCCTATCAGAGCGTCACAACGACAAACACCACCCCCTTGATAAGGTAGTGTACAGTTATACATTCTGTCTGTGATCACACGCTGCCTTGTAGAGTAAGTGATCAATCATGCATTTGTTTGAAAATGTGTGATTTGCCACTGATGTCTTCACTTTTTAGTGACCAGAATTGTGCAAACTGACATGTTTAACTGTGTGCAAGCAGACTTTCAAGCCCGCTTCAAGTCTGCTTTGAATAAGCCCTCGTCTATTTGGACACGCCATTTCCCCTTTGGGAATCCCCGGCACCACCTTTGGGGCCAATACATTACTTTATTAGCTCAAGTGAGGTGATGACCCCTTGGAGTGGGGGAGGCAGAGTGAACACAAATGTTCACTTCAGCAGCCCAACTTGCCCAGAAATCATTCATTCAAATAATTAATTTCCCTTTTCAAACATAAAATGGTGGACAAAGCTGTTTATAAGCCAGAGCAGTAAATGGCTTTAATTTTTTAATATTTCAAAACCGTAATATTTGATTTGATGGGCTTTAGGTTGTAAACTACGCCATCTCTTATACGTGACTGCTAATACATCATTACTTTACATTGCTACTGGCTAGTTGGCATGCTAAAGGCTGTAAGGCTAACAACAGCAAAGCAAAAAACAAAGACCCTGCACCAGTTTTACAGCTTAACCTACACCAAGTTTGAAAACCTACAGAGCAATTATTCACAAATTGTATGTACCTTATGTTCAAAATTTGCATTGCAAATTTTGCATGGCTACCCAGTTAGCTCACTAGGACTAACCTGCCGAGACAGTTGACGGTATCTCATTTGGACTTGCCTGTCCCTTTCTTGGGTTGATGGAACACAAATGTTATATTTATTTTGCTGGGTCATCACTGTTTTGTTAGTTTTGCCATGTACTACTGATAAGCAGGTATGAGATTCCATCAGCAAGCGTCATCAGGACTATATGAGGCAAGAGACAGACATAAGGACAGAAAGTGAAAATTTTTATCTGGGTATGTGTGCTCTGTATGTGTACGAGTGTGTGTGTGTGTGTGTGTGTGTGTGTGTGTGTGTGTGTGTGTGTGTGTGTATGTGTGTGTGTGTGTGTGTGTGTGTTGTGTGCTAACCCGTGGTTGTGTGGTTGCTTCTTGCTCTCAATGCTGTCAGCGGGAGCACTTTGCACGCCGTCACTCCACCAGCATGCTACATGTCGTCCCGGAGTGTGAGGACAAGGTGCTGTCCACGCGGACCAAGCGTCAGACCATGGATTTCTCCCTGCTCTCTGCCCCCTCTTTCAGCCATTCAACCACCCCCAACAGCACTGCACAAGTACTACACTGCCTGACCTCACACTCCTGTCTGCCTCAGAGTGCCTTGGTCCAGAGTGACAAAGTGACACTGTGTGTGTGTGTGTGTGTGTGTGTGTGTGTGTGTGTGTGTGTGTGCTTTTGCAGTCCCCTTATCTCCTTTGCCAGGAGTGTGATGAGCAGTTGTTGTGTTCAAGCCCTGCCTGCACTTGTTTGAAGTTGTCTTTCATCTCTCTGATTATTTTCTGCCAACATATTTCAAGCAAAACAGCACACTGTTAATAGAGATATAACATGTGTATGTAATATAATAGATATGTTTTCTTCACCCAAAGCCGTACAGTATACCTCACCTGATGTTCGTATTAATAACATTTAGGGCAGTGATGATTACTTGGTTAAACTTAAGCATGCAATTATAAGAAACAATCAAATTTGCCTTCTTGATGAATGGACAGTAATTAGTTGGCAATTTGTATATTTAAATTTTCCTTCTAGTCTTTCTTATAGTAAGAAACAGAGCCTGATGGACACAGCCATTAATATGGATTTTGTGCCACATTTTTTATGTGTGTTTATGAAGTCTTTTTAAAAACTTCATCTTTACCCGGTAAGGGATTTTGGAATCTATGAGAGACTATGCATGGTTTGTTATTGTTCAGTTCATTCTTATTGTTTGACCTTTAGATTCATCGTCAAAGTAAGTGGTAGAGTGTTAATATAAGCGATATTGACAGCCCCAATAATGTCACAATAATGTCACCTTATGTGACACAGTTTAAGTGGTTTTTATATGGGTTTGTCTAAAGCACACAAAGTTGACTTCTTGTCTTTCTGAGCTCATATTAGCTGACAGACAGACAGAATTGTTGAAGTGAAGTCAAAGCCTCATACTGTTCACCCTGGCGGTCTTTGAGCTTTCTGTGCTTTCAGCTCATATTTTCTTCTGGCAAAGGAAGCTGGTGTGTTTTTGTGCCAAACCTGTGCTATGGTAGAAATATTAGCACTGACTGCTGCTATTACTGCTGCTCCCAGAGTGCTTTCAGAGCTGTAGAGTGTCAGTCCTGCAGCTCTCAAGGTCCAGCAGCTCTGGTTTGTATAAGGTGTCCTCAGTAAAATGTGTTTTTATTACGTGTATAGTGTAAGTAAATGCTGTACTGTATATGGCCTGACCAATATACATATTTCATGGTCAATACCAGTTTTAAAGAGCTAAAAATTCTAATCACCAATCTAATTTAATTTCCTAGTTATATTTTAAATTTATACTGCATTAGTTTCAGATAAATAGTGCTTCACATATAAATTAGTATAATAAAAAATATATATAACTCTCACAGTTTTTAAGCTCTTAGATTTTAAAGTCTTATGTTATAAATAACATAGCTTAGGAACAGAGCTTTCTAGAATTCCTTGCAGTTTTGCTTACCTCTTATTTTTCTTTTTTTCCATCATTTCTTTTCATCGAAACATTTTTTATGTGTATAACTTACATTGTTAGGATAGACTTTGATGGATTTTGTAAGTTTTTATTTTAATCATGAAGGTGTTTTGTGTCCGAATTTACCTTTTCAGCTTGTATTGCTGAGCTGGAGGCTGACGTTGAAAGTCAGTTGATCAAAAGTGAACAGTTTCCTGACAGCTTCTTCACATCTGAGCTTTGTTACATTAAAAGACAAGTCACTGGCAATGGCCTAAATGTGTTTCTACTCCCTGATTAGTAATGTGGTGAACTATTTAGTTTAGTAAATAATGAGAAGAACACATGAATCAGTTGGCAGTATTCACCAGTTGCACCAACATCAGTTGCTGAGAAAAGCTGAAGTTGACTTCTTATTGATAGTTGTAGGGCTGAACGTTTTGAAAAGTGTGAAGGACATGGACCATGAAAACAGTACAAAACTTAGCTAGGCTAAGTTACTTGATTGCAGTAACGTAGAACAGTTACCGTTCATGATGAGCAGCTGGCAGTAAATGCATTAGGGTCTTTGTTTTAAACTGTGCTGCTCTTTTTTACGGTGTTTAGCCAGCGAATTGTGAGAGTATGGTAAGTTTAGTTTCCAGTGGCTCAGCAATTCCTCTGTCCATTGCTTGGTAACAAGAGACTCACACTGGACTTTCAGCTCTTGTAGTGATCTACGGTGTTAAAATTGTCACTGTGTTTTGACTGCTTCACTCATTACCTTTTTCACTTCTCACTACATAGCATTTACTATATAATGAACTGCCTTTACAGAAAACTCACATATATTTCACATGTAAAGTGTGCAAAAACTATGTGTTTACAAGTAATCGCACATCTTTCCACATGCGAACTCAGTTTTTTTTCATATGATAATGAGTTTTTAACATGTGAAGTGTGCAAAAATCATTTTTCTTGACATGTGAATTTCAAGTGTGGTTGGAGAATATCCATGGATTGACCAGATGATTTACAGTTAAGAATTGTTGAACAACATGGCTGGCAAACAATATAATGCACTACTTCTATAACAGGGACCAATTTTGAGTGCAGCTTATGAGTGGGTTGTGGGAGATTGTATTTCCTTCAGAATAACTCTGGAATTATCTTTTAGGCACTAAGAGAAAAATGGCAGTCAAACATAATAGTGCTGTAAAACACAAATAGGGGATCCATTTCATTATTCATCATTTAATTATCCATGCTTTACCAGTGGGAATTTTTGTTGAGTCTATACAACTTCAGTATACCAAAATATTGGTCGGGCTATAGCACAGAAAGTAAATATGGTGTATCTTCGGTTGACTGAAGTATCTGTGATATGATGAGGATACTAAATGCAAACCAGGCTGGTTTTAGTGTGTGAAGAATGTGACTTGGGACAGCACTCCAGCTTCTAGAAATGATCAGGACTGCTTATTTAATCTAGTGTGCTTTCTCTGTCATTGTGGTAAGTAAGAAAAATGTGTGGAGAGTGTAGGGGGAAAAGCATGTCTGACTTTCTGTCTGTGTCTTTCTCTCTCTCTGTCCATATGACAGTGCCATGTGGCTGCAGCTCTTGGTGGATCCCTCCTGCGCTGTGATAAACTAGAGCAGTCAGAAGTGAAGAGTCTGTTAATGTGTTTTCTACATGTGCTGAAGAGCATGTCTGAAGGTACACACACATTGTTTCTCTCTAGTCCTCCACATATCAGCAAGTGTATGTGTTCACACTCATGTGTTCACAGCATTGAGCTAAAGAAGTCTCTTTGCATGAATAGCTTTCCACAGCTAGTCATTTTAGTAATGGCTGGATTGACATGAAAATAAATGCCAAAGTAATGGCTGAATCTAAAAGTGCCTTGCTGTTCCTCAGATGCTCTCTTTACCTACTGGAATAAAGCTTCATCTGGAGATCTGATGGACTTCTTCACTCTGTTAGAGTAAGTGCTGTATCAGAATACTACAGTAAAGAGCACATTAGAGTGGTTATGGTGTTTCAGATCATATTCAGAAATCATTTTTCTCTTTTTGCAGACTGTGTCTCCACCAGTTCAGGTATATGGGGAAGAGATACATTGCCAGGTAATGTCTTTGTCTGTCAGAGTTTTTTTTTTTTTTATGAACTGTTGTTGATCTATGGTAAATCTTTCTCACAGATACTGTATTCAATCCTACTGACATTTAATAATGAATTACTATTCAACTTGGTATTTTTAAATGTGAAACCAGGCTTTTGTTTTAACTTATTGATATATTATAAACTTTCAGATTTCTGTTTAGATTAATTGTCTCAAATACAAGTAAAATGTTTACAGCCAGTGTTGTGCAGAAACACACACACAAGAGAGACTAGGGTGGGTTGTAACACTTTGTCTCAGCCTCTATAACTCAGTGGTTGTCTATGCTAGATCTTTCAAACTTTTATACAAGATGCCCATATTTGTCTATTATAAATAGCAATAGAGTTAAAATCTACTGTTTACTCACAAAACAAACAAGTTTGTGTCAAATACAAAGAGTTCTGTTGTTACAGCGTGCCCTACAATGAAATAATATATTTATAAATGTTATAAATTTTTTCTTAAATTTTTACACATCAAATTAAATTGGAGAAACTGGTGAAGCTTGTTTCTGATTGCTGAAGCTGAGGGTGTTACAATCCCATGTTACAACCCTCCCTGGTCTCCTGTATATGTACAGATTTAATTGCTTAAATACTCCCTCACTCTGGTTCTGCTGGGTGGTTCTGGAACTGGGCCGATGGTTGTCTTTAACCATTCAAAATGTGTCTCTTTTATTTATGAACACGCTGCGAGTATAAAACACACACGCACTCACTCACTCACACACATGCATATGCACACGTCTCCTGCTTCTGCTGGGGTAAGACTGGACATGCCTGTCCAACTGCTCTGCATCTGCATGTGCTTTGTCTGTCTGCGTCTTGCTGACTGACATGACCCACATGAGCAGAACTGCTGTATGTGTGTGTTTCTCTCTGTGTCTCTCTTATCTTGTGCATGATGCAGCTTGTGATGATGCTGTATGCTGTGGTCTTGGTGCTTGCTAGATAACTGCATGCTTAAGCAACTTCTCTAGAGCTTCGCTGTCATAGTGACATCTGCTGCTGACAAGTGTTGTCATAAAAGTAGGCAATGGCCTTGGGTTGTTTTTAGGGATGCAACAGTACCCCTATTTTCAGGTTTGATATGATTTCTGGTGTCAAGAAACAGTTAGATTTTCAGTATTTTATGTGGTAAATGTATTTTTTCTACAGAGCTCTGATTATGTACTACACTGATTGGATTGGCTAAAAAATACATTTCTTTTCAAAACGAAAGATCACAAAGTAGCATGTCTGTTGATAATATAAAACACTGCAGCTGCATTATGAACAATATAAAAACACTGAACTACCTCATATAAAACCTTATATAGCATGTCTCTTTTCAACACCTCAGAATTTAAACATCATGTCACAAAAGCACAATTAAAGTATGTGCATGTGTTTATTAAAGTCTGCACTGAATCAGACATTAACTATTAGTAACATTAACTATAACTTTCTTCAGCATTCTTGGTTTCCACAAAAGCTGGCAAATTATAGATTCTCAGAAGAGCCTAAGGGCTTATAGGCACTGTGGTTTTAAGTTTGTTACACTGCTCTGATGCTCTGTTGAAATTGTTACACCCTGTCGTTGTTTTTACAGAACAATAAGACATGTTGTAGGTCAGACGAAATGTTAGAAACAGTTTAAAAGGTAGAGTGGTTAACTAGACAGTTAAAAGTTCTGACATGTAATAAAGTATTTTTTATTCCTAGGAGTACATGAAACATTTAAATTAACCAAATGGACAAAAAATAATCATTAGCATCTTTATCTACAAAGCAATCATCTCATTGTCTTTAATGATGAGATGTTTTATTTCATCCTCGGACAGCAAAAAGTTGCATCTTACTTAATTTTTTACATTCAGTTTAAACCACATTAATATCCCAGAGAAAATTTAGAAACAGCTCAAAAAGCTTGTCTTGACAAAGCTTACATAACATGTAAGTGTTCTTTGTTCATTAATCATTCAAATGAATCAAATGGCAAAAAATCTACAGCATATGTATTGACAATTTCAGCTATATTCTTTGCTCTACCTCTTAAGTAAGGTCGGGGGAATAGAAGAAAATAAAGAGTAAAACAGTTCTTTCTCCACAGCCCTTAATTTTGTAGCTCCTTTCTCCCTGTGTGTCCTTCTCTCTGTCTGAGCTACACTAATTCTGGCTGTGCCGTTCTGACCGTTTCCTCTGTAGGAACCAGGAGGCGGGCCCTGTAACACATGAGCGCAAGTCTCAGACTCTGCCTGTGTCCCGCAGTAGAGCCGGAATGATGCACGCTCGCTTACAGCAGCTCAGCAGCCTGGATAACTCTTACACTTTCAACCACAGTGAGTTCCAAACCATAACACTGAATTCATTTTTCCATACATGCATTAGATTCTTCGTCGGCTTACCATCATCACCCTTATCATCAACATGACATTCATCAGCATCACTGGGATCTCTCCTCATTTGAGACAACCTCACAGCCCACTCCACAGCTCCTCTTGCTATTAAAGGACGTTTTGAAGCCAGTGGAAGCTTTTGTGCTTCTACGGTGAGGCAGGGGTGTCCCTTATCCCACATAATAAAGCAAGTCTCTCTGTTTTCAGTGTCAGAAAGATTGCCAGTGTTCTTGGAATTTCTGTAGACCATGGTAAGAATTACTCAGTATAACAGGCAGCTTGAAGCTAGCCGATATTTTAGTAACACTCCCCATGATTCCTCTCTTCATAATACTATCATCAACACATCGGTTATTCCTAGTACATTCTTAAAAAAAAAAAAAGTGGTACCAAAAAGCCTTATTTGGAATAATGACAGAAGAAGCACTTTTGGTTCCCTAAAAAAAACATTAAGTTGAAAGTTTCTCTAGAGAAACAAAAGTGATTTTCTAGAGCATTGCTCCAAAGAAGCCTTTTGGCACCTTTATTGTTAAGAGTGTACATCATAAAACTTTCTTAAGGGCCATATTGACACTACAGGTGCCCATGCCCTGTTATAGTGTGTTAAGAAAGAGTATCTTAAAAGGTTTTTGTTAGAATGGCCATTAGTTTGTAACGAGCCTGTTTTGCACACCTTCCACATCCATCTATTCATACCCTCTTTCATTCTTTTCCCACCATCTCTCATTTTTTTCCGTAAATGCATTATAATAGCTGTACAGTGACGTGAAAGTATGAACACCCAAAGTCAAAATTTCTGTAACTGTGAATAGTTGAACAAAGTGAGTAGAAGATTAACTGATCTCCAAAAGCCATAAAGATTAAACAGTCTTTTCAACACTTTAATTAAAATACTGTATTATTTTTGTTTTGTACAACGTTAGAGCAAAAAAAAAGAAAGCAGCACCATGCAAATGTTGGGCAGCCCAAGAGATTCGAGCTGTCGCATAACTTTTGCCAAAGTTTTAGACCTTAATTAACTTGTTAGGGCTTTGGCTTGTTCACAGTCCTTGTTAGAAAAGGCCAGGTGATGCAAATTTGAGAGCTTTATAAATACTCTGACTTCGCAAAATTTGTCCCCACAATCAGCAGACGTGGGCTCCTCTAAGCAGCACAAGAATGATGGAGGTCAAGTTGAGGTCTGGAGCTGCTCATAGGATTGCTATAAAGGCAAATCAAAACCCTGTTTGACTGCAGAAGACCTGTGAATTTAAAATAGAACTTTTTGCCGTAGCGAGCAAAGGTATGTTTGGAGAAAAAGGGTGCAAAATTTAAAGAAAAGAACACCTTTTCAACAGTAAAGCATGGGAGTGGATCGATTGTGCTTTAGAATTGTGTTACAGCCAGTGGCACAAGGAACATTTCACTGGTAAAGGGAATGGATTCAATGAAATACCAGCAAATTCTGGAAGCAAACATCATACCATCTGTAAAGTTGAAGATAAAAAGGAGATGGTTTCTACAACAGTATAATGATCCTAAACTTCAGAATCCACCATGGCCTACCGCAAAGTAATCTTGCTTAAAATATTAAAGAAATGTGTGATCTTTACACCTTTTGGAAATTAGATCATCTTTTCTCACTTAGCTACTCATAGTAACAAAAATTTTGGACTGGGTTGCCCAAACTTTTGCATGCCTCTGTATATAGGAAATGTAATTCCAAAAGTATGCTTACATTTCAGTGTGTACTGAATCTGCTCAAATGTATCTTTAATTGTAAGCTGTGTTAATTTAATTTGATTGAGTACAGACACCTGCCTGTGTTCATGTAGGTAGAGAACAGTTTCATTTGGAATTAATTTAACAGATGTTTTGGCAGAGTGGTATTATTTAGAGCTTTCTTTGTCTCTGTGTTTGTCTGTGTAGCATACAGCCATTCAGATGCCGATGTGTTGAACCAGTCGCTGCTGGAGGCGAACATTGCTACTGAGGTGTGTTTGACAGTGCTGGACACACTAAGCATCTTCATCATGGGGTTTAAGGTATGACATGGCACCACAAAGTAGTTTCTGTATTTATTCTTATAAATATTTAGCATGTGAATCATTTTCTAGCAACAAGTTATTACTCAACAGATTAGTTGTGAGAGTACAGTTCATTCTAAACTCCAAATATAGTTATCAACCTTCATTTCACATTTTACATGCTTTTATCCTATTCTCTCTCACGCTCTGTCCTCCACTCCCTCAGACCCAGCTGAGCTTAGATCATGGCCACAACCCACTAATGAAGAAAGTGTTTGCAGTCCACCTGTGCTTTCTGCATATCAACCAGTCAGAGACAGCACTCAAGCAAGTCTTCACTTTCCTGCGCACCTTTATCTATAAAGTAAGTGTCATGTCATTGTTGACCACTCAGATTATTCCATCCTTGGGGCTGATATCTAATGTCAGGTTTTCTGCAAGTGGCTGTACATCAGTAGCCAAAGCTAATGAGCAGTAATTCAGAATTTGGCTATTGGTGTATCGCCATTTGCAGAAATGACTGCTGGCTATGCTGGTATATGGGTATTGTCTAATCCAGATTTGAAAAGACCTGGTAAAACCCCCTTTTGCACAACACATGCAGGGAAAACCACCACATCTATACATACATGGGTACTTCAACAATGTCTCTTTATTGTGTCCTCCCCATCCCCACATTAGCCAACACTGTGGAAAGAATTGGCATAGAACGATCCAGAATAGACTAAAACAGTAGGAATACAATGGAATTGATCAGACAGTATAGGCTATGGCATACAAACTCTATAAAGCTGTGGTTGATAAAAAAAGAATGGTGAATGGGGCAGTGAATCTGGACAACGATTAGACGGAAACACTTGGACAGCAACTATGAAAAGAGCGAGGTGTTGAAATTGGATCCAATCCTAACTGAAGAAGAGAATGCAACAGCCGCAGTGCCAGATGTACCTTGTGTTCACGTTATTGCATAGTTTTGCCTGTAGCCACACATCAGCCCACACAGTGGGCTGTTTGCGACAGAATGATCAGTTATTAATGACTTTTATTTTTATCATATGAGAGAATGTTCAATTATACTAAACAATTTATCAAAAACTATATTTGTCAGTTTAATGAATACAATAAAAGCTCATTTTAAACAGTTTATATGAACATTTCGTCCCATGTCCTGTGACGGTCAGTTTGACCTTTTTGGCCTTTATCAGTAAACAGCAAGATTTTCTTTACTTAGCAACATAAAAAGCTGCCACCATGCAACAGGAACATTAATGTTTCATTGTTCTTTTTTCACAAGTGACAGTGATTCATTGAATGTTTTTCTTACAGAAAGATATAATATTTTTCTTTATATATCCTCTGTTGTCATATATCAGCGCTGGCTCTTATAGATTAATTAATAAATGATTATCAAAACTGAGAATTTAAGTTTGATATTCAGACATTTCCTATGACACACTCAACAATACAAAAATATTTTAAAATTAAAATTATTCTTTGGTGTGGTGTGAATTAGCATGTAAAATCCAAATGGTCAAAATGACCTCTATGGCCATTCTAGTAGTTATGTAATTCTGGCTTTTGTAGTGTTAATGTATGAGTATGATCTCATCAATACCCTATTTCACACGAACAGAGATTTCACTGGTCCCCCTACCCACAGCTTACAAGTTACTGCCATCCCCATCCCCATTCCCATGCAGCTCTGTAGTCTGAATGTCCAATTAATTACTATTGGTTTGTTTATGAATCACATGCAATATTACACAGTCTTTTTTCTGCTTTATTTTTGTGTACAGTTCCCATGCACATTTTTCGAGGGCCGTGCAGACATGTGCGCATCCTTCTGTTATGAGATCCTGAAGTGCTGTAACTCCAAACTCAGCTCTATCCGCAGTGATGCAGCTCACCTTCTCTACTTCCTCATGAAGAGCAACTTCGACTACACGGGCAGGAAGTCCTTCGTCCGCACACACCTACAGGTCACACAGCAGCACTCTTTCTGAGCAGCCTGTTGACTTCCACTGAAAACTTTGTTTGCTGTTAGATACAAAGTACAGACCTATTATTTGTACTTGACTGAGCATCCTCAGTATGTCTGGGTCTTATAAGTGATGATTTGTTTTTCTCTCCTCAGGTGGTGATTGCAGTCAGTCAACTGATTGCCGATGTCATTGGAATTGGTGGGACAAGATTTCAGCAGTCTCTGTCCATCATCAACAATTGTGCCAATAGTGACAAGACCATCAAAGTTAGTGAACTCCAACAAATAACCACAGCACACACTGTACTTTACATAGGTGTCACTGCACGGGAAAATGGCCAGCTGAAAGTGTTGGAAAAATGTGGTGGGAAAAAAACACATTTTTATCCCTCATGGTTTCTGTAGAACACAGCGTTCCCATCCGATGTGAAGGACCTGACCAAGCGGATCCGGACAGTCCTGATGGCAACGGCTCAGATGAAGGAGCACGAGCGAGATCCAGAGATGCTCGTGGATTTGCAGTACAGCCTGGCCAAGTCCTATGCCAGCACTCCTGAACTACGCAAGACCTGGCTGGACAGCATGGCCCGCATCCACGTCAAGAATGGAGACCTATCTGAAGTATTAAACACATTCTCACTAATTCAAATCCACATTAATGCGTGTGTGCCTGTCCAAACATATACACAAGGATGTAATGTTGTTTTTCTTTTATTTGTCTATCTCTGCAGGCTGCTATGTGTTACGTGCATGTAGCAGCACTGGTAGCTGAGTACCTGCGAAGAAAAGGTGAGCTCCATACACACAGGAATACTAGCACCATTGACCACTGGATGCTGCTAGGGATCTACAGCAGTGCTTTTTTAGTAATAGAAGTGTTTTCTGTTTTAAAGTAATAGGTGGAAAATTAAATGTACAAAATGTCCCCTTAAGATGCCAATCAACCAAGACATGTTTGTGGCCAAAATTTGCTTCTTTATTTTTGCACTGGAGCTAAGAGGCTAATTTGCTTGGTTAAAACCAAATGCTTAAATCATTATTTGACTCGACCATGTCAAGTTAAGTGATCTGAATTAACTTCTGTATTATGGTTTCTGACAGTATATGACATACTGTTATCAATAAATATGGATAAAAGTATGCTACTCAGCTAAATATAATAGTAGCAGCAATGTCTGCCAAGTCCAAGTTTTGTCTGTACTTTGATCCTTTTCTATAGATAACAGTATGTCTTATCATGTCAGAAACCACATAAGCTTGTCATGTTGAGATTCCTCAAAACACTACGGTTTGAGACAAGGCTGTGAGATGAATCAAGCAGTTTGCACGATGCCAACTGGTGGGGTGCAAACTTCATTTACTTAATTATGAGCTACATTAGCCTCAGAGCTGCAGTGCAAAACTGAAGAAGCAAGCTATGGACACCAAACTTGGTATGAGTGCTCAACTCCATAAAGATAAGAAGAAATTCTGTAATTTTTTTTTTTTTTTTACTGCTCTCTTGATAACACTTATAATACTGACAAAGCACTGTTGAGTATGTCTATTAAAGGTGTATTAATAATAATCTTGTAATGGAATTTTGTTTGTTTTGATTTCTGTAGGGATGTTTAAACAGGGTTGCTCTGCGTTCCGAGTGGTGACACCCAACATTGAGGAGGAGGCATCAATGATGGAGGATGTAGGCATGCAAGACGTACACTTCAATGAGGTCAGGACCTGTCAGTCATACAGCTACAGTTAATCACTTCAGTGCCAGCTATATCTCTCAGTAACCATTCAGTTATTGAAGTATAGTGGAACTATCACTCTCACATTAGAAACAGTGTTCAACAGCTTGTGGTTAAGCTTGTGCACATTAGTCATATTGATAAGAGTGCAGTATAAAAGCACCTGAGAGATAACACAACACTCCTGTACCTGTGCCTGCTTGTCAGACTTATCACCTGAAAGGCTGATACTCAATCACAGCACAGCACATTTAATGTGTCTGGTACTGGGTAATTACCACAGCATGAGTGCCTACTGTTTCTTTGACCTTATACTAATGTTATATTAAAAATGTGTGTGTATATGTGTGTGTGTATATATATATATACATATATATATATATATATATATATGTATATGTGTGTATGTATGTGTGTGTGTGTGTGTGTGTGTGTGCTTGCTATATATATATATATATATATATATATATATATATATATATATATATATATATATATATATATATACATACACCCATACACACATTTTTTTTTTTACATAATTTTTGCATTGTTGCATTGCTCTTAAATTAGAGTAAAAGCAGTTTCTTACAGTTTTCATCTCATTCTATGTCCTACAGAAGCCTATGTAAGATTGTCTTTAGACAAACACATTTTATAGCAAAACTTTAAAAAATTAACTCCTCTGGTCCTGTTGTGTGTGTGTGTTTTTAGGATGTGCTGATGGAGTTGTTAGAAGAGTGTGCTGATGGACTCTGGAAAGCAGAGCGATATGAGCTCATCTCTGACATCTACAAGCTCATCATACCCATCTACGAGAAACGCAGAGACTTTGAGGTACAGGCATAACCAACTGCCAGCTTAGTAGCTAAAAAAAAAGACAATTGCTGAACCAAGCCCTTAGCAGTCTATCCTAATCGACCAAATCAAAAGGAGTTGTAATTATATCCATAAAGACTATTATTATTTAAATATAGATTTGGCAGAGACTGTATTTAGCCAGGAATTTGGCATGGAGCATAGTCATGTAATGGGCAAAACTAATAATAATCATAGTAATAATAATAATGTAATAGTAGTGAATGCTGTTTGAGTGCATTGGGATATTCAGCTTTGAGACTCAGAGTTGTGTGCATGCTTTACACTGTCAGTTCTATGCTGCTTTTGTGCCACACAGGCAGAAAATGAGAGACAGTTGCACTAGGTAATTAAACTAGGTGGAAAAAAGAACAAATCGTTTAAAGAGCTTTAATTAAAATCTTATTTGCTAGGTCTTCTTTACTTTAAGCAATGAGCATCATGATACATTGTATTTACCTCTTTCACTTTTGGCAGAAACTGGCTCACTTGTATGAGACACTCCATCGTGCCTACAGTAAAGTCACAGAGGTGATGCACACAGGCAAGAGGCTACTGGGAACCTATTTCAGAGTGGCCTTCTTTGGACAGGTAAGAAAGTCTTGTATGAGAAGAAAACTCATTATTTTTTTTCTTACATGATATATAATGCTCACATATTATCAAATGAGTGGTAACATCTTGAGTCCGTTTACACCGTTAACATGTTTTTTGTGTTCGAATCATATCCGGATAAACTTTGGCTGAATTCCATTTACACTTTTCACTAAAATGGGTCCCAGTGCGATCAGATCCGATTGTAATTTTCCTGAGTAAAAACACATCAGTGCACGTCATTTCTGTTTTTCTTTTGTTTACTTTTTTCCCCCGTTACGAGTTGACAAGCTTTGCTTGAACACTTTTATTCGCCCATTGTGCAAAAAGGCGCTTGGTTTGGGGATAATTTCAGCCTCATGTATCCTCCATCTTTCATTTTGGTGTTTATAATCTCACCTGCTAGTCCACACTCAGTAGACGCATTTCTGCTCACGTAATTTTATACGGATGGCAAAAATGCATTGTTAAATGTGGTCAAGATCCGTCTCTGACCACCTACAAATGTGGTTTGAGTGACCTGATCGTAATTTATACACAATGCATCCTGAGTGTGTTTACACCAGGCTTTTTATGCGATCAAGTGAAATCCAAACATGATCCGATCACCAAAAACAAGTGTTGATGCAAAGTATAAACAGGCCCCTTGATCTTACGCAATGAACAAAGCTATTTTCAAGTTTCTGTCTTAATCCAGCATGAGCACACCCTATTGACTCTGCCATTATCTGTTCATTAATGATTTAATCTCTCCATTTGTGTCTTTTGTAAAGGCTGCGGTAAGTCCTGTTACAGGTTGGCTGGTTTGAGTTTGCAGTGTTCTGCCATTTTCTAACTGATCGTACAGTTTTCTTGCTTTGAGAGGAAAACAAATTGTTGAATTCCAGAATCAAACCTCATAGGAATCTGTGCGATGGTGATTGAGTTTTACAGACTCCATTTGAATCTACTAATGATTCCTATAAATTTAGCATGCTTAAGTTCTGCTCATTGTAATACTCTCATTGTAAGAAGACTTTGGGAAAAAATTGGATGTGTTCTTTGGCTCATAGCATTTTAGCCTCATCTTCTCACTAGTGTTTCTGCATGGTAAACTCATAACACTGTCCCATCTGTTTTATGTGTACTCACCTGCATAAGCACACACCTTAACCAGATCAACTTTGTGTGTAGTTCAACTGTGCCTGTAATTGTAGCCTCTCCATATTGAAATATGGGTTCCCCTTTTCTAATCATTTGTAGCTATAATAATCATATCTATTTAGATGATAATAGTACTGGCATAAGCCCACCTGCACTTTATCAGAAACAACACCTAACATGACCGTCTACCTTGCTAAATTACAATTAGTCACTGTAGCCTGTTTGTTGACAGTTGGCGCTTTTGTGTTGGCCATCTCTAGCCCTTCATTGATGGCCAGTTCTTGACCACAGAACTGCTTTTGGCAGAATGTTTTGAGTAGTGTACCACTCTCAGACTAGTGACACTGACGTGTATAAAAACCTCAGCCATACCACTGTGCCCAATACACTCATACCTGCACCACACACACTGTCACATCAGGACCATTGCCTGCTGAGAAACGTCTGAATAATATCTGGGCTCGTATTCATTAAGGTTCTCAGAGTAGGAGTGCTGATCTAAGATCTGTTCTTGTCAGTAAAGTCTTAAATAAATAGGAGTCTGACCTAGTCCTAGAATCCTGGGAAGCTTTGTGAATACATGCCCTGGTCAACAACAATCCTTGTGGTCAGAAACTGACAAATGATGAATGGGGTAGGGAGTAGCTGACACATTGTGTATAGTAACATATTGACTTCTGTCTGTAACTGTGCACCTACAGAACTATGCAAAAGTCAGTTACCATAAAAGATAAAAACAGAACTTTCTAAAACTTAAGTTAAAAATTATTAAAGAATATAGAGAAAATGGGACTCCTAACAACCGTTCAAGACCTGGTAGACCACCAAAACTGTCGCTATCACATAAGGGAGAGGAAAACAAGCTCCACTCTTGGAAGTACAAGATGAAGGTTTCTAATAAAGTGAATGCTGAGTGTATACTGTAATAGTTCCTTTTGTAGGAATGTGGTGTGACTACTTGTCTCTGTAGCAATACCAGTTTACTGACTGTGTGACTGGGGTTGTTAAGGTAATATATCAGATGAGAGGCGAACATCATATAGATCTTCAGACATCTACTGCTTTGTGGTTGTGGTAGTTGTGACTGCAGTTGTTTTAATGTTGTCTAGGTGTAATGCATAACATCCAGATTAATCCATTTCATGAACATGATGTAATGTGACTTGGAAATGGATATGTAGCTGTAGTTTGTCAGTGTGTTTCATGCTGTTTCATATGCAAATGAACTCAATACAGTAGATGTAATACATGGTTATGTGTGAAGCTGTGTGAAGATTACTGAATATAAGTTCTTGATGGATATTTTCATTTCATTTTGGTTTTGTTGTTGTTCTCAGGGATTCTTTGAGGATGAGGATGGTAAAGAGTACATCTACAAAGAGCCCAAATTCACTCCTCTGTCTGAGATCTCCCAAAGACTTCTCAAACTCTACTCAGAAAAGTTTGGGGCTGAGAATGTCAAAATGATCCAGGATTCTGGCAGGGTAAGCGGCTGTTTCTGCCAAAATGGAGAACATTGTGACAAATATTCTCTGCTGTAGATGCATGTTTGTTTGTGTTGTGTGTGTTTTCTTATCCATGTGTTCTCTCTGGAGCAGATCAACCCTAAAGACCTGGACTCAAAGTATGCGTATATCCAGGTAACTCATGTCACTCCCTTCTTGGAGGAGAAGGAGCTGGTGGAGAGGAAAACAGAGTTTGAAAGAAGCCACAACATCTACCGTTTCGTCTTTGAGACACCCTTCACAGTGTCTGGCAAAAAGCAGGGTGGCATTGAGGAGCAGTGCAAACGCAGGACTATACTCACCAGTATGTAGCCCTTAATTTGAAACTGTGTTCTAGCACATTATTCAGCAATATAATACAAGAGGGAGTGTGTTATTGTTAATAACATTACAGCTTCACAGCTGTGATTCAGTCACAGGCATGAGCTGAAGGAAAATGCTGAAATATTCCTTTAATAGAATCATAAGCTTGTATAGTCCATTGTCTCATGCAGAGCAGAAAAAAACAGAAGTTTTTACTGAGCCTGGTACTGATTCCTGAATTTACATGTTAATCTATATTAGGACCCCTGGAAACAGCTGCTGTAAAGTATGTTTAAGCCTTTAAAAGGTTGAGTAGATTATTTGTAAGTAACCATTGGAAATTCTGAAAAAGCAGAAACTCATTAACGAGTCTGTAGTAATAATGCTCCATGTGTAATCTCCATAAAAAAAGATTAGATTTTAGTGTGTCAGCCAAATATCAAGGCTGCCTGTGACTCTTCATCAGTCATGTTTTATAGTTATATGATCCACCAGACCCCAAAGTCCAGTTCTTATCTATAGAGGCTGATGGTGTTGATCTAGCCCACAGCTTTGGGAGAAGCAGGAGTGGGCCCTATCTGAAAAGCTGTTTTCTATTAGAAGTACTGCCCTGAGTTTATGCTGTAAGTTTATTACAGTGTATTTGATTTTGTAATCGATGTTATAATTGGTTTGTCATATTAGTTTATTCTAGCTGTGTCTGCTGTAGACTACAGTACATCCAAACATATATTTTTCAAACCTTCTTTGTGCTTCTTATTGCCACATGCTGTTTTTCTCTTTTTAGCATTCATTTACTTTGTATTTCTCACATTCGGTGACTGAGTTTGTTTTCCTTCCTTCAGCCACACACTTTTTCCCATATGTAAAGAAGCGTATAGCAGTGATGTACCAGCACCACACAGACCTGAACCCCATCGAGGTGGCCATTGATGAGATGAGCAAGAAAGTAGCTGAACTACGGCAGCTCTGTGCCAGCAGTGAAGTGGACATGATCAAACTCCAACTCAAACTGCAGGGCAGCATCAGTGTTCAGGTACACGTGCACCCACATACATAAACTACCCATCGAAAGTTTGAGAACACGTTGTCTTCTCATGAAATGTTCCACATAATTGGAAAAACAACCATGAAAATAAAATATTACAAATTTCAGCTTCATGTTCATCAAAGTGTCTTTATTTATTATGAAAAGTACATTTTACAATGATTGTTTTTCTAAAGTATTGTTAAAAGGACATATTTAAAACACCTTAAATACATCAAAATGTGTATAAAATATGTGCAGTATGACTGTTTCTTTTGTCAGTTGAAACAGCTTTCTGTTTAATATAGTATTACATACTGACAAAGAAAACAAATTTGTTACTCATTTATTAAAAACAGCTTGAATGACTAGGTATCCTCAAGCTTTTGACTCAGTATAAAAAATGCACCCCCACTTTAAATTACCAGCAGCCTAGATATAAATGTACATCTTGATAGGTGCAGACCTACATTCTGCCACTGCTATTTGATTGTGCTCATCATGCTGTTCTTACTTTAGGTAAATGCTGGCCCATTGTCCTACGCCAGAGCTTTCCTTGATGATACCACATCCAAGAGATACCCAGACAACAAAGTCAAACAGCTCAAAGAGGTCTTCAGGTAAGTGTTTATACTCTCAGCTACACTTAGGTTGAGATTCTACAGTGAAAGATTCCAGAGAGCAAACTGTCTTCTAGATGATGTTACGTTTCTGTGTTGTGTTGTGCTTTGTGCAGGCAGTTTGTGGAGGCATGCGGCCATGGCCTGGGCATTAATGAGAGACTGATCAAAGAGGACCAGCAGGAGTATCATGATGAAATGAAGGCCAACTACAGAGACCTCACCAGGGAACTCTCTGCCATTATGCATGAGCCAGTAAGTTAATAAGATAACTAAATACACAGGCACACATGCTGTGTTTAGTTGTTTCACTTTCCATAATTCTACATACAGTACTGTGCAAAAAACCTAGGCCATCTGAGAAAATGATAGCCATTTGTTTGGACAGAAAGCATTTGTTTGTTCAAAAATGAATAACAATAACAATTTTATGTATGTGAGTGTTTTAGCATAAACATTTCCGAACCGAACTTCAAGCAAGTCCTGTATTTACGGACACCATCCAATATCTAGTTTGGCTAACTATTCCTTCATGTAATTAAATCAGCTAATGGAGTTGAACAAATCCATACTGTGGCTGGAGTGCAAAGCGAAGTTAGGAACCAAACTCTGATCTGTATAAGTGTATCATCAATAACTTTTTTGAAAACAATGCATTCTTGTTACTTTGTACTATATTTATGTTTATTTGTATTTATTCTAATTTTATGTCATGTTTTAACTAGCGAAAACACAATACCGAAATAAATAGGTTTAAATAATTTTTATGAATGTCTAAGACTTAAGCATGGTGCCACATTTAAGCTCCTGAAACAAAAAAAAATGTGTGCATCATTTCTTTCCTAATAGTTGGTTAAGCATCCAAATGCCTTAATTAGTGTCAATCAGGTCAGGTAAGGATTACACCAGTCTCTTAAGCTATTTGCGGTCCATTTTAGTCCACTCTTCCACTAACCTTATGCTTCATGTTGGAGCATAACATAACAATGACACCCCCCCTTTCCAGGAAGACAACTGTAGGGTGTTTGTATGTGATTAGTAAACAGACATAATAAATACTGGAACACTTTGACTGACCAGCAAAATCATCAGGCCTCAATCCCAGTTCTCAATATAGAACAGAAGGTGAAATGCTGAAAAAGTCACACAAACTCTGGCTGAAATGTGCACCTAGTTCATAGAAGAGTGGACTAAAATGGACAACGCTGACAGGATTGGCTCCTTTATTAAGGCAATGGGATGGGAAGCCAAGTATTAAAAAAGCGTGCAAATAATTTTTGTCAAGTGAATTTGCATAGATGATTTGTCTGTAGTAGTGTGGTGTTATATATATTAATGATGTTAACATGTGTAACATTCTTGTCTTTTTTTCTTTGCTCACGTAACCAGCTTGGATGGTAAATGCAGATCTGAATTTTATGTTGCTAAATTTCAGCAAATCCTTTACATTTTAATTTGATATGAATCCAAATTACATCATAAGTTCCTTACTCACATGCCCTTTCTCTCTTTCTCTCTCGTTGTGTCTCTGTCTCTCTCTGTAGATCTGTCCTGTGGAGGATGCTATGAAGAGCACTCTGCCTGACTCGTTGCACATCTTCAATGCCATCAGTGGCACTCCCACTGCAGCCAGCATCCAGGGCCTCCCCAGCTCCTCCTCTGTGGTCTGAGCTTCAGCCTGCACTGAATGGGGATCTGTAGCTTTTTTCCAAAAGCCATGTGCAGATATTTTCCCTCCTGTTCCCTGCTTTCTTACCCAGGCCTGTCTGCGGAGTTGTGTATGAGGACACTGTGTCATCTAACAGCAAAGTGAGGAGTTCTGTCAGCTGCAACACTCAGCAGCGTCACAGTCTGCGTCTCTCTGACCCAGCAGAGAGCTGCTCCACAGCGACCCTGGAAGAGGAAGTAGACTAGCGTTTTGTAAACTAGTAGTTAAGGGGACTGGGTGGGAGAAGGTGATGTTAATATGGGCATGGGAAGTATTTTTAGGATTTTTTTTTTTTCCTTTCTACCCCAATCTGACCGGGGATCTGAGTTACTGTTTCCTGTGGAGACTTTTACACATTTTACCCTTCATCAGCCAAGTATTTTTTATTGCTGTTTTAATTAGTTTCATTGGTTCTTTTTTGTCATTTCGATTTTAACTCTGTGATACTATGTGTACAGAATTCCAGTTTCACATGTCTTACAAAGGGTCTGCTTGACTTCTCTTCTTCTATTCTGAATCCAGCCTTGCCATTTTTATATCAAAGAAAAAGTAAATGTTATTGTTCAACACATGCGTTTCAGACAAACTTACAAAGAGACATTATTCACCTTAAATCACTTCAAAGTCTTAGAGATTTTTAAAGCCATGTTATAATGTAAGTGTATTGTTCTGAGTTGTTTATTATTGTGTATATATAAATATCTAAACAGAGTGCAATATGTAGCAAGCTGAGCTCTTGCTGTGTTTGATACACTGTAAGAATGGTGTTGATCCTTCTTGCCAAAGAGCAGAGGAGAGGAGCCAGTGAAGGAGCAGACACACGTACCACATTAGTGTTCCTTTCAATGATTATCATTTATCTTTTATATTCACGATGGGGATTTTTTTCAGTCTCTATTTAATACAAAGTCACTGTTCTGCTGTATTTAAACTAAAATGTCCCCTTTTAAATAAAAATCACACTTTTCAAACCGTTTAGTCTGGGTATTTTTTCTTAAACATTCATATAGGTTGCGTTTTCAGAAATGTACAAGTTCATGGCTGCTGATTTCAGATGTGCTGTTTAGACAACTCATGAAAATGTTAATAGAGTACAATGTTAATAAAAACCTTTGTGTTCTTCAAATAAAAATGCATTTAATGACCTAAAATCATTTTTGATTGAACAGTAGTGGAGAAATTAACAGCATGATTATAGATTCAGGTTTACTGAGTAAGGTCATGTTGTTTTGGGACTGTTTGAGTAATAAAGTTTAGAGCTTTTTACTGTATACGTCAAAGGAGAGTTGTGCTGTGCGTTGAGGTCTCATCGTACATGGCCTTCATACTTAACAAACAGAGACCATTTCAATAGTAAAATCTTTTTTGTATCGGTTTTCCTCAAAGTAGGATGGTTGGGTTTCTCTCCTTTTAAGCTTCACTGTTATTCAGATACACATTTTTTCAGCCTCCCTCCATCACTTCCTCTCACTCTGCCTGTATCTTCAGAAAATCATAAACATCATAAACAGGGCCACAGTCCACTCTAATAAAGGGCTGTTCACTTTTACACAGGGGGTTCTGTACTTACACCAATCTTTCCATTCCTGAGCACTCAGCACGTCACACGCAGCCATGGCAGGTAAGGAGGACACATGTACACTATATTATTGTTTATAGCTGCATTTTCAGTTTACTTGATGTATATCAAGTAATTGCATTTTATAATTTATTATATTATGTATTATTAATTTAACAGACAGAGAGGAAAATGGTGTTAAGAGAGCAAAATCAAAGGTGAGACTGTTGTACATTGTTATTTCTTTTTCTCTTATTTGAAGATCTCTGGCTTGTAGCCTCTTTAAGGGATGCTGTAGTTTTGTGAGATTTGTCTTTAGCTTGTTTTATTTAATGAGATTATTAACTTTACAGTTACTATAAGCTCTGGTTCTGGGTGGGTGATGTTTGATATTATTGGCATCTCTATTCTGAGGAATCAATTATTCAGTCAGTCTGTGTGTGACTAGGCTTTATTATCACTACATCAAAAAAAGGCCAGTGAGGAAAAAATATGAATTGTGTGTTCTTTCTTCTATATTTTCAGCTCCTATTCAAATAATTATTTTACTTAATTATTTCTTCTGTCTTTTTCCCTCTTTATGATTGATCTTGGGAATCTAATGCCAAAACAGTCACTAAATGTAATAATATTAATGAGAACAATAATAATAATATTAACAATAACATCAGTGCTAATAAAAACATAAGTGTTAGCACAGTTTGGATTTTTTTTTGTTTGTTTTTGTTTTGCTTCAACAATACATTCCCTTTACGTTTGTGAGGTTACTGAGTTTACTCACATTAGGAAACTGATTATGATTTCTATAAATAAATTTGTAACACAAATCAACAGCAGTTTTTACTTTATTAACATTTATTAACAGTTTTTACAAAAAAAATATAATTAAGATAATTAGTAAAGTTAATGCCTTGACTTAAACCTCTAACATAAACAAGCAGAAAACCTTGGGCTTTTTCCACTCTGTTCAGGCTAATCAGTGGCAGTAAAGGATCCTACTAAGTGACCCAAAATCTATAAATATACAAGTTATTATCTCACTTTTAAGCAGCAGAGCTTTTGAAAAAAATCTTAAGTTCATTTAAAACGACACATTATCATTTTAGAAGGTCTGTTTTTCATTTCCAAAGTTTAGCAGGGTTAGAAGGCACTCAGAGTTTCACTTACCAGGATTCAGATCACTGTTCTGTAAGAGTATCTCTTTCAGGTTAGAGATTCCACCACTTTTCCTACCACTGATAAAACTTAAAGTATATTAGTGTACATCATCAGTGAGGTTTGCATGTTTCACGAGTCCACGTGAATAAACTAACAAACAAATAAAAGCTGCAACATACCCCTCAGCACAGATCGATTCGCTGGTACCTGTATGTGCTCATATATTCTGACATTGGACAAAGAACATGTGGTTTTCTATGAAGTAAAAATACAATAACGCTGCAGTTTTGTCTTTGCTTGTGCGCGTGCAGTCGGCGGAATGCTGTGGATATCCGGTCAGCATTTTCTTCATCGTTGTCAACGAGTTTTGTGAAAGATTCTCCTACTATGGAATGCGAGGTGAGTGCGTTTGATCTGAGGGACCATGAACAGATAAACAGACTGCAGAAAAGCACAAGGCAGAAATAATAGAGACGCATCCAGCATCGGGCCGGCCTGTGTTTTTCTTTCGAAGACATTTCTCATAAGAGCTTCCGCAGACCAGCGTCTAGTTCTGCTAATTTGTACTTAATAATGCTGCTAACAACCAGACTACACCTCGCTCTGTGTGTGTGTGTCTCCCTCTAGCGGTGCTGGTGCTGTACTTCAGGTATTTCCTGCGCTGGGATGATGATCTCGCCACCTCCATCTACCACGCTTTTGTGGCGCTGTGCTACCTGACTCCCATCCTGGGGGCCATTGTGGCAGACTCCTGGCTTGGCAAGTTCAAGTGAGCACTCGTTTAGTGGAACTAATACTGATAATAATAATAATAATAATAATAATAATAGTTATATATATATATATATATATATATATATATATATTTTGTAGTACCTTCCTTATATGTAATTCAAAGGGCGTCACAAACGGTTAAAAGACAAAAAAAAGATTCAAAAAATATAAAAACAACATAAAAAATGTGGTCAAAAACAAAACAAAATAAATACTAGTACAACTACTACTATTATTATTATTATTATTATTACTACTAGTAATAATAATAGTAATAATCTAACAATAAAAAAAGTAAAACTAGTACTAATAATAATAATAACAAAAAGTAAGAGAAAACAATGAAGCCATGAAAAATCAAATTTCAAAAAGTATGCCTAGCTGCTACTAATGTGCTGATGTTGCCTAATTTCAGTTCAGTACATTTATATTTTATTGTTAACATTTGGATCACTAAGCAAGCCTGCAGTGCACTGATCTGACAATGATAGTGACAGACAGTTCGTGATGTGTGATGGTGCTGAGCTATTTAAATCCAACAGCACTCTGTGTTGAACATTTCTTCCTCCAGAACCATCATCTATCTGTCCATCGTGTATGCCATCGGGCAGATAGTCATGGCAGTCAGTGCCATTAATGACATCACAGACGCAAACAGAGACGGCACGCCGGACAACATGGCTGTTCATGTGTGAGTGACTCCTTCACCGTATTCCTCTTACTGCGGCTACCTGTAAATGCCGCAGCACTGCATTTATAATGAATGCATCATATACCACTTCTTAATGACCTCTAGGGATGAGAGGATATGCAAACTTATTTTCACTTAGAAAATCAGCAAAAACATCTTTTCTCTTCTGTCACAGGACCTTGGCTATGATCGGCCTGATACTCATCGCTTTTGGTACTGGAGGCATCAAACCATGTGTATCTGCATTTGGAGGAGATCAGTTTGAGGACCACCAGGTCTGACCATTAAACATTAAAATTTTCCTCAACTCAACACTCCTGTAGGAACATCAGCTGCATTAGATAGCATAGCATGCTTTCCTTTACTCCTAAGCACAGTGGACCCCAAACCTTGGCCTGGAGTGGGCCTACTCATGCCCTCATACACCTGATCTGGCCTGAGTGGAAGCAGTTATGTTAGAGCAGGAAAACACAAGAAAGAGCAGAGTAGAGCTACTCCAGGACCAGGATTGGAAACCACTGGCTGTGCTAGGCTTAAATAAAGACAAAAAAAATCTATTTTGGCCAAAATGTGAGTGCATCATTAAATATAATAATTAAATATTATATAATTGTTTATAATATTCCAAAATTGATGCAGTTGAATGAACACCTTCAGACAGATGTGTATCATGATACACTGATGCATTTGTACACACCCTGTTCTATGCTTATTTGTGTATGTTGTACATACTGGCTGAATGATCTGCTTCCTTCTCTTGTTTTAACAGACGAGACAGAGAAGTACTTTCTTCTCTGTGTTTTATCTGTGTATTAACGCTGGCAGTCTCCTGTCCACTCTCATCACCCCTATACTCAGAGGTAGGCCACAGTCTGTGTAGCAGCTGGACTGTATGCAAAATATTTATATTTCCTTATCAAACTCATTTTAACATCTGTGCACAGGTCAAGAGTGTGGTATTCACACTCAGCAGAAGTGCTACCCGTTGGCTTTTGGTGTTCCTGCTGCCTTGATGGTGGTCTCTCTGAGTGAGTCTGAATGCATGTGCATGAACCCCAAAGAATAAATCTCATTTTGCTCCTGCAAACCTTAAATGCCATGTAAGCGCAGATTGCTGAAGTGCTGGGCAGTATTGATAAAATTCATTAACGCAATATTTAATAACAATAAGTTAGCATTAGTAAAGTAAATAAACCCATGCTTCCTGAGTAGGGGACCATCATAATATATTCCAAAATTTAAATAAAATAATATATTCAGTGCTGTATTAAAGCATTCTGGGGCTCTTCACAAAGACTGTCTTGGGGCTCCTACCTCACTACTATCGAGGCACAAGGGGACTATTTAACAGCAAAATTTACAACCTAAATTAATATTCACAGCAACTGCTCTCTCATTGTCTCTAGAAAGCCAGCAAGGTTAATGTACAATAATGTTATATACAGCTACAAGACAGTGTTAAGTTGTACAAGGTGAAATTATAAAATGAACGTAGGCTAAAGTTGAAGGTGGCAACAAATGCAGTGTAAAGCAAACCTTGCTGTGAAAGGACTTATAATCATAATAAACCTGACACAGCTTGTTTTGATTGGACCATTTTGTTTGTTTGCTTTTCTTAAAGTTATGCAAATAGGATTTTTACATAGTATAAATGTTAATCAGACAGAATTCCCAAATATAATATTTATTTAGTATTTCTAGATTTTTCAGAAGCACCCGGCAAGTGACTTACATTGTATTTAAATTTTTGTAAGCTATCAACACAGCTACAACTAAAAGTCAGTGTTGTTGCATGACGCTGGTATAGACAGAATAATGCTCAGCACTAGATTTATATATAAAGAGAATGCTTCAGTTTAAGACTGTACTAGTATGTCGTTCTGTGTGTCTGCAGTTGTGTTTATTGCTGGCAGTGGGATGTACGTTAAAGCTGCACCCCAAGGCAACATCATGCTGGATGTGTGTAATTGTATTGGGGTGAGTCTGCTACACTCATACAAGACATATCTTACAGTTTATCACTGTTAACCCCTTACATGGACAGGGCCGCTGGCAGGCCCAAAGTTTTATTACACACTTCTATAACCTAAGAATAGCTCAAACAGTTTGCACTGAAGTCCCTGTAGTTACTGAATTATAAGGGGTCAATACGCACTGCTGGTATAGACAGTGAGATTAAGCCAGACTTTAAAAGTCTAGATTTGAATATAATCCTTTCAGTCTCTTGGTGGACTTGCTAGTTTCAATTAAAATGAAAAAGTGAGTGTACATCAGTATACAGCAATAATAAGAATCTGTATTCTCTCCTCAGTTTGCTATCAAGAACCGTTTCAGACACAGGAGCAAGAAACACCCGAAGAGAGAGCACTGGCTGGACTGGGCCAATGAGAGATATGATGTATGTCCACACCCTTTCTAGCCACTCAGTTATCTCACATACCTTGTTACGAAACGTGTGAATTCACTGATGTGTTAAAAAGACTGTCACGATTACTTGATAAAACTGATCATTAATGATTTTGAAAAGTGATTAAAATATGCTTTCTTGATGAATTTGCAATTTTCATGGCAATTATTGATTAATCATTAAAATAGTCATTAGATTACTGAATTACTAATATAATTATTAGTGTCAGTCCTAGAATGTAACAAAGCTAAGAACACATGCAACACAACACATTCTCTCTCTGTGCTCCAGAAACTCCTCATTGCTCAGATTAAGATGGTGCTGAAAGTGCTGTTCCTCTATATCCCTCTCCCCATGTTCTGGACACTGTTTGACCAAAAGGTAACATTGACACCTTGTGCATGTTTTGATGACAAATCAATGATTAAAACTATTCTTACTGCATTAAACTCTGCTGAAAAGGCCTAAACGATTATTGTTTTTATTATTTGGTCTACAGGGCTCCCGCTGGACCCTCCAAGCCACCACCATGGACGGAACCTTTGTAAGTTGTTAAACTCATTACTCCACATTCAGCACAAAGTGTATCTGATATGGGTGTAACTTTGACTGAACAATGATTTGATTTAAATGTATGTAATTAGCAAATGATTCAATGCATTTTATATATATTGTTGCTGTCCAAAAAAAAAATCTTCATTTTGCTGTTTTTCCTTTATTAACATAATTTAAGAAAATCAGCTGCTCTTTACGATGAGTGCAAATATCATTATGAATGGACCAATAGAAATGCTCCAAAATTGCAGTGAAACAAAATCTCTTTATATTAACTTACATTAAAAGTGAAGAATGTGTTTGTCTTCTCCTGTAAAGTTGTCATTTTAGAGATGCTTGTTTTTCTTTGGACAATGACAATAAATACAATATCCAAATGTTACTGGAGGAACTTCTTACAAAGTGTTGTCATATAGACAATGAAAACATGTTTATGTTTAAATTTTATTTTTACATTTGAATTGGCCAAATGGTGTAGGCCCAAAAAATGAGTGCATACCTTATTGAATATTATTCTAGCATTCACGATGCAGTTGAATTGACACCTCAGTTAATTGTACTTTAACATAGCATCTGATCATTATGCTTCATCCCTGTTTTTGGCCTCTGTCCACAGGGCACCCTCATTCTGCAGCCAGACCAGATGCAGGTGAGTCCCTCTTTAGAGTCTGTCTCTGACTACAGCTTGGCTCGAGTACATTTTCACACAGTGTTACCCTGCTGAACATTACTTTGTCTTGTGCAGACTGTCAACCCCATCCTGATCCTGACTTTAGTGCCCATCATGGACAGAGTGGTCTATCCCCTCATCAGAAAGTGTGGCTTCAACTTCACGTAAGACCCCTCTTTCTCAGATCATGTCTGGAAATTCGACTTATCCATGTCATTTTCTGTATCATAAACATTATTTTTATTCTCATCCTATAGTCCTTTGAAGAGAATGACAGTTGGGATGTTTTTGGCTGCCATGGCTTTTGTCTCTGCTGCTCTGGTCCAAATTCAGATAGATGTGAGTGTGAATTAAAAGACATCAGTGTTTCTGATTCAGACCAGGTCTATGATAAAATCACTCTCAAAGTAGTGGATGTGATTGTGCTAAAACCCAGAGACTACATCTGGTAGCCACTTTATGCAGAACCCCTAGTGAAAAAAGTCTTTTTTTTTTTTTTTTAAATATGTAGCAAGCTTTATTTAATATTATATGTACAAAGGTTTTCTGAACTTTAACATCAACACTGCAATAAGAATTTGTTGTTTTAACTAAAATGTGTGAACATGGATGGCTTAAAAATTTTAAACTTTTATTATATTGACAGAATGTAAGACAGATTATAGTTCTGTTAACTTTCCCTTTGATGTGCAACTAGCACAACATTAAGCAGCACAACACAGAAAACATGAATTACTAGGTGATTGTATGTTTTACCAGAAGTGGTGATACATACGATTCTTAGTCTCAGCTTTTGTTAGCTGCAGTGTGCCAGGTTAGGCGCAAGCGTGGACATATATTCAGACCACAATTTAAAACATTGACAATTTATTTTAGATTTTTGATAGAAATATTTGTTTAATCAGAGTAACAATAATAAGTCACTGATCTCTGAACTATATAACTACTTTCAGAACAAAACCCTTTATCTCCAAAATGAAAACTTTACAGGAGATAGAAAAAATTCTTTTAATGTAAGTCAGTCTAACCAGACTTATGTCCAAGTTATTTTGGGCCTTTTCTTTTGGTCCATTCTTCAGAATTTTACACACAATGTAAAAGCCAACAGGCATTTTCACATTATGTCAAAAACTGAAAAACGACTAGGTTTTGTTCCGACAGCAACAATATGCATTTTACTTGCTTGAAAAAGTGTTTTATTACACCAGTGTACACATTTTTGCTTTTGCACAATGAAAGCATTTATAGATTTGATGAATTCATGACAAGTAGAGTAAATTAAAAGGTAGATTTTCCTCTCTGCTTAGAGGGCTAAAACAGAGTTGTAGGTTTGAGAATATGTTAGAAATCATGGAGATCTTGTCTCATTGTAATTAAATTAATCCATTTCTTTCCCAGAAAACCCTGCCAGTTTTCCCATCCTCCTCTGAAAGCCAGTTAAAGGTAGTAAACATGGCCAGCAGTCAGATGGAGGTCACCATCTCTCCACAGGATCCCATTGTGTTGGGCTCTATGCAGGTACACACATCCTGTATGCTCACACGCAATCATTCACAAACTTAATACACTCCCTCTAAACTCCCTCCAGAGGAAAAACAGCAAACAGCAAACAGCTGATTAAACAGCAAATGGTACTGTATAAAAGTCAGAGACTTCCTTCATCCTTCATTTACCAAATCTCCATTCAAAATGGAAATTAAGCATAAGTTATTCATTTTTCAGCATCAGAAAAAGGCAGAAAACATATATTTAACATGGCTACGGGTTTTCATTATAAAACAGCAGGAGCACAGCTCTTGGTCTCAGTTCTCAAACAACTGATGAGGTTAGCTTCTGCTTTGCTGAAATGCAAACTTGCAGCCACACCAGCCCTTTGTGGACAAGATTGGACACCCCTGACACACGAGTGCATCAGTATTGCATGTATTGTTATTGCAAAACATCACATCTATGTAATGGTAACTTTATAGGAGAAAGAAAAACCATACTGAACTTTAATACAATGAGATTTTGGACCATTCACACAATATAACGGCCAGTTGCCATTTTCAAGTGAATTAAAAAGTAATAAATAAAACAGCAAAAATAATGCACTCTCAAGGTTTTGATATGGCAGTGATGATATATTGTATGATTTATTGAAGACTGAGCAATAATCCCAACTATAAAATGTAAAAAAACAAAAACAAAAAAACTCTGATAGCCTGTTCTGTATGGTGTCTCTACAGGCCAGTGACTACATGACATTTTCCACTTCAACAATTACAGTGTCTTTGAACACAAATCCACCCATCATTAAAATGTTCCCCCTGAGTGATAGACAGCGCCACACTCTGATCATCCCGGCCGACCCTAACACTGCGTATATGGTGAGAGTAACGCTTTTGTTCTTCTTCCATTATTGAGATTTCAGAACATAATTGTGAAAAATAACCTAATTTCTCTTCCTTCTCAGACATTCGATATCACTTCCAAACCAGAGCAAGGCAGTAATGCCATCAGGTGAGCATAGTCTTTAATAATAACTTAAATGTCAATACTATCATTTTGGCATTAACAAGCTAATGAAGCAGTTTATAGAAAACTTGCACTTTACAAAAAAATAACAATATGATAGCTAGAGGTGTGTAGTGACTAGTTCTATTAATCAATATTTCAAAAATACCCAGAAAGGTACAAATTCTTCACAACTTTAATTTGCATACATGTACTTTCTTGAGTATTTTTGAAATGTTAATGCTTTTACTTACAAATCTGTAAGGAAAATAATCTACTTTCCACTCAGTTACAATTTAGTTACATTAAGTTGCTGCTTCCTTTTTTGTGTTTATTTCATTTTGTTATGTTAGCAATAGCATCTGTACCCCTTTGTGATCTCACCTCTGACTTTTGAGGTTCATAATTTTATTTTAGGCTAAAAGTGCATCAAAAGGAGAAAAATAGCACCTAACGAACTTCACTTTCACGCTTATAGATGCTGGATGTACCACTGTTCCACTGCAGTTCTATACATTACTTATTACTTCATTTTTTCTTCTTTTCTGACCTGCTATTTGTACTTCTAAAGTTGTTTTTTGGGTACTTACTTACTATAATCTTGAGTCAGTATTTCACTGTGTAACAGGGCTTTCACATGAGGCTTAGACTCATGTACCCACTCTGATGATAACTAATTGACATAGACTGTGTCCTAAGTTAACAAATCAGTTTACTACATGGGGTGTGAGTGATCTGTGTGCTGGCTGAACAAAACATCTTACTAAATATCATCAACAAATTAATTTTCCACCTTGTACAGATTTGTGAATGGCATGAGTGAAGAAGTCAATGTTTCATATTATGGATTCAGTAGACAATCTCCGGTTTCAGACTACGTCTTCCTTTCACAAGGAGAGTAAGTTTAGCTTTATATTAATTTCTGATGCTTTAAGAAAACTTTAGTGCTCATATTTCTATTATTGAACTACGTTTTCTGGTGTATAATCTCAGGATCAGTAGAGTTCATGCTGGTTACATTTTTCCCTCAGGCGCACATTCAACATCAGTAATTCTGTGCAGTCATGTACATTCTCTAAGAAGTTCGGGTTTGGAGCTGCCTACACGTTCCTCATCCCCAGCACACTTAACTGGACAGACAATGTGCGTATTGAATTTGTTATTATAGTATTATAGTAATGATTGTATCTGCTGCAATATGATGGGCTGTAGAGACCAAAAGATGTAGAAGCACCAAATTTGCTAGCATGTGCGTTATTTCCCCCTCCCTCATATATTCAGACAAATGAAGTGACCCTGATTAAGCTGAAGGCAGTTCTGTAGCTCTAAACTCATGGGCTTTTAGCTGGATTTTGACTGGCTTATCAGTAGCCAATCAGCATAATCGTCTACTACCTCTGCACTTGCTTCTAACCTGTAATATTTCTAATCTGGGGAGCCATAGATTATGTATTACTGGATATTTATTATTTTTTAGCAGTTTATGGTAGTCATCCCCTAGTCCTTCATCAGTGGTCACAGGATGCTGCCCACAGGATGCTGTTGGCTGGATATTTTCCGTTGGTGGACTATTCTCAGCCCAGCTGTGACACTGAGATGTTTAAAAACTCCAGCAGCCCTGCTGTGTCTGATCCACTTGTACCAGCACAACACACACTAACAAACCACCGTGTCAGTGTCACTGCAGTGCTGAGAATGATCCACCACCCAAATGAAGCCTGCTCTGTGATGGTCCCATGGGGTGACTGACCATTGAAGAATGGGGTGAAAGGGAGCTTACAAAGTATGCAGTGAAACAGACAGACTACAGTCTGTAATTGTAGAATTAAAAAGTGCAGCTGTAGGGTAAATGGATTTCATAAAATGGACAATGAGTGTAGATACAAGGTAGATGTACTTAATGAAGTGGCCAGTCGGTGTATAAACAAGGTTTTCAAGGCCTTATCATTTTTCTGCAACTGTCAATAGTTTGCAAAACACTTTTTGAGACATAGTCATTTAATCATCTCAAAATAGGACTTGAAACAATCTGGGGTCCGAAAGTTAATTAAGTAAATGGTTATTATATATAAGATTTTTTCCCCCAGTATGAACAGCATGTGTTGATTAAACGTCATAGTCAATAATATAGAAACTCAGTAAGTTAGCTTGATCATCACCATGCTTTACACAAACGCTTGTAAATACAAAATTTAAAAATACACAGCTTTACTTGTCATTTATTTTTCGTGTGCTAAAATGCTCCTTACTTGTTTATAGTGCTTGGACCCCAGGGATTTCCACTTCACAATGTATTTACTCTTCTTCTTGAAAACATTCCCTGATCAAACTGTACCAGGACACATTGATTATACTGACCCACTTTTAATAATGTTTTCCAAGGCCACACAGTCATTTTATTGCACTTACATTTCAGGTGTCATTATCTCCATAACTATTAAATATACAGTGAAATTGCCATAACAGTTGAAGCATAGCGAGCATTCGAGTTCTCCGCAGAGCCCATTCTGACTTGTCAGTGTTGTAGTTCTTCAACGTATCTGAAAGATGAATTCTGCTGACCTCTATCTGTGTCTGTGTTCTCTATACGATCTCTATATGTACTGATGTAACTAATTATGAACTGATGTAACTAATTACTAACCAACTAGTTAATAGCAATTTTAAATAATATGATAACTAAATGGCATGAATTGTGTTAACTGTCTGGTGTATATGTGGTCCGTACAGTGTGGTACCTCTGTAGTTGAAGTGGAAGACATCAAGCCCAATACTGTGCACATGGCCCTGCAGATTCCTCAGTATTTCCTCATAACAGCAGGAGAAGTGGTCTTCTCTGTCACTGGCCTGGAATTTTCATACTCACAGGTATTGTTTAATAAGTGTGTGGTTGACTGATTTTATTTAGGTAAATATTTTATTAGGTAAATATGGCACTTGTCCAAGGTGTGTTCTTTTTAACATCAATATGTTCAAAATGATGTAAAGTATACAATATGCACACACAACTGCACACCGTTTATTCTGTATTAAATATAAACTATATGTACATGGAATAATCTTTGACCATTTTGGAAAGTAAGCCTATAGTTAACAAACTACATCGCTTGAGAGAAGATTTTTTTTTATCACAATTATCATTAATAATACATTATGTTATTTACTGAACACTGGAGTATTTTATCACACTGCATTTTGCTGCTGTTTTCTAAAAGTAATACATGACTCTGCCTTACATTATGCCTTATGTCAGCATATTGCTTTATTCTCAACTATGTCCACTGAACTGAATGATTTCCCTCCCTGTTCAGGCACCCAGCAACATGAAGGCAGTGCTGCAGGCTGGCTGGCTGTTCACTGTTGCTGTGGGCAACTTCATTGTGCTCATTGTGGCAGAGCTGGCAAAGCTGCCTGACCAGGTGCTGCATCTACAACTACACCATCTTAACACATACACACTTTGTCCAGCCCAATTGCAGAAATACCTTAACATTTACACAAAGTCTGTGTATGATATCTAAAAATGAAATTTCAGTTAATTTAGTTTTTAACTCTTAAACCTGTGTGTGTGTGTGTGTGTGTGTGTGTGTGTGTGTGTGTGTATGTATGTGTGTGTGATTTTTACTTCTCTCTTCCTCCACAGTGGGCAGAGTATGTGCTGTTTGCCTCTTTGCTAGTGGCAGTGTGCATAGTCTTTTCTATAATGGCTTGCTTCTACACCTACATCAACCCTGCTGAGATTGAGGCCCAGTTCATGCAAGGAGATGAAATAGATCCAGAGGACAAGGAGAAGAAAGCCATAGAGCTGGAGAGAAAAGACTTTGTGCAGCAACAAAATGAAAAAGTTGGCAAAACTAAAATGTAAACATCAGATTTTGGTTTGTGTACCATGTAAACCAGTTGCATAAGTCATTATAGTTTTGTAAGAGCTGTTGCTTTTATAGATAAAGTTGCTTAAAGACAACAGTGGAAATGACTATGATAAATTGTGAAATCGTGTTATCAGATAAGGATAGCTGGCCAGTGTTTGACTCTTTTGTGGTTATAACTCCTGTTCTGGCCTTTTCTTCCCATATATTATTGATCTAATGTATATTGATAAGAAGATGTCATTGTGTTCAATTTTATAAGTTATAAAGAAGTCAACTTTCTAATGATAATTTTAAAAACACAAAGATATACTCTTTCCTGGAGGTCATGATTGAGACTCTAAAAAACTTTTTTCATTTGAGCCTCAAACCTCTTTTATTTTCATGGACCTGCTGCCTTTGGTAGTACTTAACAAAAATGCATAAATAAGTATGTGTACTTCAGAAAATCACCAAATAAAATTCCCCTTAAGTAAACTACTATAAAACTACTATATTTTGCATTTAAGTAAAAATTAGAGACATTTTAACCTACTGCAGGATAAAATATTTAAAAATGCTCTGTATACAGTTGTACTTGCTGCAAGTTTGCATGAAATATCAATTTGCCTTTTGTACTGACAAAACTAGTCACGTGGTATCCTGGATAACCACTGTTTAATTGCTTTTTTTAATGAAAATCAGGTTAAACATGATTGACAAAAATATCTACCCCCCCAGCAACTACTACAACCTTCACTAGAAAGTAAAATTTACTCACTTTTTATAGGATTATTCACCCTGAGATTATGACTATATGCATTGAATTATTAAACCCTTGCAACAAAAAACAGTATATGTGACCTATAAGCATAGTCTGGCATTGTTTGATGTCCTGTATTTAAAATAAAGGGATCACTAAAACGGAAATAAAGCATATTTTGGCTTTTTAATGTAAAATGTTCTATAAAATAACTTGTAATCCAAAAAAGTTGAAGTGGTTAATATATGTTTCTCGAGGGAGGCTCAATTCTGCACACCAGTTTATATCAAAAACAAGTAGCTATTAAAGTACAAGACATAAGGGGCGGGGCTAGATTAGGTCTGTCTCCACCCTGGACCAGTGGCACAACGATGAGAATAGCTGGATTTGAACTCCATCACCTGGACTTTTGTTCTCTGTTCTTTGTCACATAACATCTTCAACATTTTGCCACTTAAAACACAATTCAAGGGGAAATTCCCCAAAATATTTTGAACGAACTTCCGAGTGTAATATAGCAATGTGATCAGCGAGCTGAAACTACGTGCAACATTTCTCCTGCTTATCCTGATCTGGCAGTGTGTATAGACTTACGTGTAAATAAAATGACTGCGTTATATGAGAAACTGCTGCAAATGACGATTCAAGAGTATTCACTATTTTCCCCAACAAAGCAGAAAGGACACTAAATCTATACACTGCTTAATTTGTAATGTTCTTGCTGTCAGAGATTTGAGCAAGAGATTGTCAATTAAATCTCAGTCAGTGGGCAAATTTCCCACCCTGTACCTGTATATTAGATGCTTCTGTGTGAATGTACAGATCCGCATATTATCTGTGTTCCCTGTTTCTCTCTACGCCGCTGAACTGGTCATTAGTGGGCAGGGTCTTATGTGATCTTTGAGCGCCGATTGGTCTTCGACCTCGCTTTTGCTCCGCCTTACTTTAACCGTCACAGTTTTCAATATGGCGGAAGGCTACGTCGGAAAATGAAGAGGGGAGGATCACTGCGCGTAACTGCTCACATTTCGCGTTATTTTATATGTATTTTTATATGGGCATCATTTTGTCATTCGTTGTCTATATAATTTCATACCGCGAGGAAAAGAGGACAAAGGTATTCTCAACTGCTTTAGCGAGAAAGTTGAGAAGTTTGCGACTAGCTAGCTAGCTAGCCCGCTATCCACCGAACTTGTGCAGCAGTTGGGAAAATAATAATCCCTGCTGCTCCAGCACTAAGGAGGATAGATCAGCGAGCTAACGGAATTAGCCCGCTACACTCTGTATATTTGGTTATCAGCAATCACTTATTCACTCAAGACTCAACGTATCAACGTAGAAGTGCTGAAGAGCCTTATTACGAATGTCAAAGTCAAAGTGGTCGAGTAGCTCTAAATTCCCTCTCTAGCGTAGCTGGGTCGCTAGCAGCAGCATCAGCACAGAGTTCCTTAGCTGGGCTTTTCATCTTATTTACATTAATATATCACGTTAACTGTACACTAGTGTTTGGTGGATTATTTAAGCCAGTTACTAGCGCTGCTTTATCGTCTGTAAAACCTAAAGTGGTTTATTAAACTCTGGCCAGGGAACTTGGCTAAGTAGCTTAGACGTAGAGGCGTTTTTCACCAGCTAGCCAACTCGGCAATATTGGAATCTGTATCTCATGTTATGATAAATCTGGCAGAGGTGAAATAGCCACCGAGTTCACCGCATCCGCTTGTTTTGACCTTTCGCGGGTCTAAAAAACATTTGGATTGTTTTGGCTGAGTCGCTGCATTAGCAGAAGACATGGCTCGCCACTCTCCTGTCCAGAGAGGACTTCTAGGGATGCAGGTAATGTTATCTAAGAGTTTCTCAACACAGCACCCAGTGTTCTGCACCTTTAAGTGTCAACGTGTGCGTTTGTCAAATACTGAAGAACTTGTATTTTAAAATACCTGTCCTCAAAAACAACAAGTCAATATATATGATAACTGGCTACAGTATGTTTATGGCATAGTAAATGATTCTCCCTGTCTATTGTGGTTTAGCTAATCCCACTTGCCACCTGCTAGTTAACATTTTGATCAGCAGTTTGCTTGGTAGTTGACACCACTTTCACAGTTGTTCACAGTTGACAAGCTTGGTACATTTGTTTTTTGCTCGAGTAGTCCTGTTTTTGTTATAATCATGAAAATTACTGAACCATGTAGAACCCTGCTGTTATTCAACTGTAACTCAGACATCTGCATGGTTCGAGTGTTGTTTCCTGGGGAGTTTCCTGAGAACCACCACCCATGAAATAACACCGGAAAGCGCTACTTACTACGGAGGCCTCAGTACTGACTCTATACCTTAAACTTGGTGTGTAATAACTGAGCAGTTTTGCGGTAGCAGCTCTGCTCAAGGGATGATGAAATTGGGAGGAAGGTTACACTTTCCTATCTGTTGTTACATGCAGCTGGGCATTTGGGATTTGAGTTTTACAGTGAGAGATTTTGAAGCCAGATGGTGATCGAGTGAGTGATGACAGCATGTTGATGATGCATTTAATCCAGCAAGTCAAAAATGCTGTTTCCGCGTCAGTTTGAAAACATAGCAGTCTATAAAGTAGACAAATCAGAAGTGGAACCTCTGTCTGTGGGTGGCAGTCCCTCTTTAGAAAACATACTCTGATATAGAGATCTTAAAGCTACAGTCAGTGTGTTCTCAGTAGCTATATGTGCTATTTAGGTCATATCAGGTAATGCAGAAGTTGACCGCATTAGTCATGCATAGTATGTGAGCTGTTCAACAAGAAAGCACAACTGCATTATCAGTGTGTGGTGCCAATAGCTGCAGTGTCTTTAGGGCTTTTTTGGAAAAACTAGCATCCAGGCTCATTTTTGTGTTATTTGTGTGTGCAGCCTTTTTTTCCTCTGTCAGTGCACCATACAGGATAGTTAGTCTATGTCACTTGGTTTGTCGTGACTTGGTCACAACTTTACAGTAACTCAGATGAATGCTATGACATAAAATAGCCAGGCTTGTTCTATGTGGCAGTCACATTAGTTCTGTTTATGATACTTTCACTGTGGCCAGAAGTTTGTAGAAACCTGCTAATCCAAGATTTCTTCTGAAATCAAGGGTGTTAAAAGGGAATCTCCTTCTCCAATCTCCTTGCTGGAGTAACAGCCTCTACTCCAGGTGTGCACAACTGGTCTTAGAGGACCAGTGTCTAGCACAGTTTGGTAATTCCCCTACTGAAACACACCCTCTAATCATGACTATTAACAGATGAATTGAATGAGGTCAAATACTGATGGTGAATAGTTAGTTCTCAATCACAGACCCCACTCCAACTCATCCCAGAGGTGTTCAGTGGTGCTCCATCACTCCAGAGAGGGGTAGCTCACGCATTGGGTGTGATGACCTTAGACCAGAGATGTGCAGTCTTATCTGCAGTGGGCCAGTGATTGGATCAGTTGTTTGAAGCCTGAGGCTAATTAAATAAACAAGGCACCAGGTGTGGAATGTGATTGAAATGAAAACATGCAGCCAAACTGACCCTTTGCAAATAAGATTGGTCACCCCCTTAAGCTCTGTGCCAGCTCTCCAGAGTGTCTCCTTCTTTTGGCAGTGTTTTTTGTGAGGATTATACAAGCTTTGTGTGGTACAACACCTGTGTCAACTATAACTGAATCGTAAAGTTGCTGAATTACTCATTAAAAGGGTGAATACTTTTGAACATGTAGTGTATGACCTGGTTCAGTTGTGTTTAGTTCTCAGGGGGATGAATTGAAGTATAAACTTTTATTTTTATGTTTCTGTAGTTGTTGAGCATGCGTTTCTTTTTATTAAATTATTTATTTACAATGTCCTAATGTCAGCTAAAACTCTATACAATGACAAAAGTGTGTCCAGTTTATGTATCAGTAGAGGCTGAGGTTCAGTGCAGGATCAAGTGAGGCTTTAAGCTTCAAATTCAACAGGGTTTAGATCCTAGGCAGGACCTGCTGACTGAATAAACATTACAGGGGTTCCCAGCACTGCAGCTCTGTCCTGTGTGTGTTCTCTCCCACTCACACAATAGAGATTTGACCCAACACAATCAGTTTCACCTGGCTGACCACTTTGGTGTGCTGACAGGCTTTAGCTTGCTATTTTTAACCTGCTGTTATCTCAAGATGAGCGTAGTCAAGTCTGGATTACTTTACGATTGTTCTCTTTGAATCCCTTATTTATCTCAAACTTGGATGCTATGTCATTTCGCTCTCAAATAGAAATAACAGATGAACTTAAAAACAGAATATGGCCTTCTGTAGTACTCCATGTTGGATAACAAAACGCATGTTCCAAATTAGGTGGTTTCTGTCATTATCAAGCTGTATGTTGAAAATGTGGTGCT